ATATATTGTCTATAAATTGTGTAAGCTGTTGATTACCTAAAATAAATAAATAAATGAAAAAAAATAGATAGAGCGATTCAAGAGGAATGTTTATATGTATAATACATGTACACCCGTGCGAAGCCAGGCTGGGTAGCTAGTTCACATATATGTTATATCTTAAGAAAGCAATGCTTACAGTCAAAAGAGCAACACTCAAGTTTATATCTCGTTCTTCTTATGATGAGTATGCTTTCCGAATGAGTGGTAGAATAAACAGAATATTATATAATAGACTATTCAAAAGTGCTTATATTATGTTTATTTATTTGTATTTCTACTTAGTATTGAGATGTTAAAAATAGCTAATATTATGTGTACAGTAAATAAATATTGACTGCGCCTGACGGGCTCAGCGTTGTTTGCGTCACATTATCACCATTTTTGCAATGTTTTTCAATGCAGCTCGTTTCTATTGGTCATACCGTGATGTTATATAGCTTATAACATTCATTAATGGCTATCCAATAATGAATCTAAATATATATAACTCAAAGGTGACTGACATAGTGATCTATCAACGCACAGCCCAAACCACTGGACGGATCGGGCTGAAATTTGGCATGCAGGTAGATGTTATGACGTAGGCATCCGCTAAGAAAGGATTTTGATTAATTCTACCCTCAAGGGTATAAAACAGGGAGTGAAAGTTTGTATGAAACTTTATCAATTTTATACCGATCGGGCTGAGACTTTACATGCATAAAGCTACTAAGACGTAGGTATCCCCTAAGAAAGGATTTTGATGAATTCCACCCCTAAGAGGATAAATTAACGCGAGCGAAGCCACGAGCAAAAGCTAGTTAAATTATAAAATCCGTAATACCTAATTTCTTCGAGCATCCAAAGTTACAAACATTACCTCTATTATAATCTTATATAATAGGCATATGTGTTCAAAATTGCGCCCCTGACATATCCAGTACCATGTGATCGTGTGACCATCTGTCACCTTAATATTTGTGAAGTGAGTGTGAAGCCAAAACTATGCGTGTAGTTGATATGTGTAAGAGTTAGGGTTGCTATCTTTTCAAATATATAATATTAGGTTAACCATGTAGCGTTGCCCGCGTGATATTTACTATGTATAATATGTATATTTACAAAAAATATATATCTGAGTGTTTATATCAGTTGTCTAGTACTCATAATACAAGCTCTGCTTACCGTGGGACTAGATGACGCTGTGGTAATGGTCTAGGTTTATTTATTTATCTAATCTCTGTTACTGACTAATAATATAGATTTCTGTAAGGGCCATCGATGAATCACGTTACACGAATTTCTTGGTTCCTCACCTCTCCTCCCATCTTTGTCACGGTTAGTCATATTGTGTTTTCTCTCGCCATAGTGTGACATATTTTGAAAATTGAACTGTTTTCGTTAATAATTCAAATATCCTGTTGTAATTCTCGTATATATTGGATTTTGAAATGTTATGTCACAAATTTAGGCCCTCCCACTCCGTTGTCACACGAAACCACACTTTGTTTGACAGCTCACTCATTTCACTTAACGTATGACGTAATCTATGGATGCTCCGTAAGTGAAAGACTTCAGAATTTCCGAAAATAATCTTGAAGGGGTAAAACTTCTATACAAAGTTTCATCCCTTCCAGATTATTTTCGGTCGAGGTCGCAAATAACAGCTGATATTGTATAAATGCAATAAATAATTGAAACTAAGAACGCTGTAAAATCTATAAAATACAAGTACACCCTTCTTCCGGATTATAGAATGACCTTGTTTAGTTTTAAACACAAAGGCATTTTACGTCTTCCGTTGGTTTAAACTAAAAAATATTACCGGCAACCCTAAGGTCGGCGTTATTTCCGCGTCAATGAAGCGAAACATATCGAATTACATCTTTTCGTTGGAAAATGTAATGTAAGTAATACTAGACCAGTAAACTGTCTAAATTATTGAACAATAATATAGGTAAGACCTAGAAGGCTAGAACCTACTTGAAATATGATAAATTCTTTAAGAGTTTTTAAATGATAGTAAGGTTTTTGTAAAAAAAAATAACTTATTTCATAGTGCTGATCTGATAATATGATTGATTCTGATTGATAGCGTAGCTGTTTCTATGTTGATTATCGCATACCTCTTCCTTGTCAATGTGTCGTTACTTAAAACAACTTTTAACAAAGCAATACGCCTTGATCATTCTTTTCTTGGTATAATAAAAAGTATGACAATTCAAGAGTATTTACATTAAGTTTATTTGAATAAAAAATATTTCTATTTCTTCGTACAATTTCAACTTCATCGCCACGAAAATAAATTGAGTTTTACTTAGTAAATACCTAACGCTTCCCACGGCCGGTACCATGGGAGAATTTCTTCAAGTAAAAAAACTTACTCCATTGGGCGATTTATCTTTGTACCAAAATAAGAGCAGTAGTCCAAGCGTGAAAATAAACACTTTGGATTACTTTCGTATGTATAATATTTGTACAGATGTGTGTTAAAAGGAATGTGTCCACGCAATAAAATTACTATGTAGATATTCTTCAATATTCATTCTATCTCTATTTGGATACCTTGCATCTCCTCTTCACCCAAACGCGATAGCAATACTTTCTCAATCGAAATTATTTACCTACCTACTAACTCTATATTCTAACTCTATTGTTATCGTTAATAAAAAATGTTTTCGTTATTCTGAATATTGAATATAATTCCAATATCTAGCATTGTTAAAATTCTATAAATAATGTAAATCTTTCCCGTACTATTATATATGTAGACTAAATAACGTTATAATTTATTGTGAATGTTTGTTAAGATGAATTGAATGCATATTATTTTTGTTAGTACAAATATTTATCTTGCTCATTGTTCGAATGAGCGCCCATCGGGAATCTTAGGCAGTGATTGATTGAAATCGCTATTTTTGTCACCTACAACTTTATTAGATTATAATCACATTATTTTAAGCAGCGTAAAAAACAGGTCATCCGTCATAATAACTAAAAAAATATCATGAAGTAGTACCCGCGGTTTTTACTGCGTAGTCTCGAAAAGTGGAAGTTTAAAAAATACTTACATTGTTGTATTATACTAGCCGATCCGGCAAACGTTGTTTCGCCATATAAATTAATATTGCCATTAAAAAGCTAAGGGGTTGGTGGTAAAAGGGTGAAAATTTTGGAGTCTATGTATTTTTTATTGCCACAGCGTAAAGAAATTAAACATAAAATTTTCCCCAAATAAAATATAATAACAGGTACTTTATTCTGATATTAATTAATTCATATATAATGCTAGAAGTAACGGCCAGGCCGAAAATGTAGTTCGAATCTGCAAGAAAATGATGAAATGCGTTCTTGTGGATGGAACAAAAAGAGTGAACAAATTCAAAATGAATTATTGTTGTATTTAAGTATTGTAAAGTTCACTGTTTTACAAATTATATTATTCAGATGGGAGTTGCTTCAGCCGCTCCATAATTCGTTCCGTGGTTATTAATCCTTAATTAATACGTATTAAATATAGGTTATAAAAATTATATAATTCACTAGCTGACTCCGCAAATGTTATTTTGCCATATAAATTAAAACCGCTATTGAAAAATAGGTGTTGGTGATAGAAGGGTGAAAATTTAGGGTTGTATGTATTTTTTAATATTACATTATAAAATAATGAAAATTTTGTCCATGAAATAAAAAAAAATGTTAGGGGTGAACAACGCTTATCATTTAGGGGTATGATAAATAGTGGCCAATTCTCAGACGTACTGAATATGCATATAAAGTTTCATAATAATCGATCAAGTCGTTTCAGAGGAGTATGGTTGTTAACATTGTGACATGAGAATTTTATATATAAGATTAAACAACGAATGTTGAAACAGGTTTAATGATGTCTTTCATAATCTTATTATCATAACTTTCTCACCGTGCACTTTCAGCATCCAACGCACGTGGATACGTAATAAAACTAGTTTTGTTACTTGCAATGACACTGCAACAAACATGGTCATGTGTGGGCTGTATACGTTGCAAAATCGGCGAACGCTAACTGTTGCATGTAATTTAGCTTTTAGGCGTGAATATGCTTTATTTCGTACTATTGGTTTTTACTTGTGATACATTGTATGTTTTAGAAGGATATTTATTTACTTATTTACGTCATACTAAGCAAGATTTACAGTTTCTCAATATGCCCACTTAGGAAGATTGCATACATATATACTAGTTACTAAAATACACACAATAATTACAATGAAATGAAATCTTAATTTTACATACTACATAAATAATCTACTGCCATCCTATGAAACAAAGTAGGTACAAGTAAATATGTCTAGATCTAGAAATCGGATAACTACACCGTGGAGTAGACTACTTCGTCGCGTGAATTAAAGAATAGAACAAAACAAATAATCCTATGCGAAGTACTTCTTTAAACTTATATAAATTCAGATCAGCCACTCAAGAACACAATAACAAACAAAAATCAGCCCAGTCCATTTACACTTACAATAACAATTTACATAAACTTTGAAAACATTTATTTACGCATGCCGTGGCAACCAGAAATTGAGTCAATATTAAAACTATATAAATACCTGAACTTTTCAGCAAGAACTAATCATTGTAATTGTTGGTCACTCAAGATTTTTTTTTATTTTATTCATTAATATATGGAAGTTTAGACATACCGCGGACCCCAGTAGACGCGGTTTACCAGTAGGAAAAACTATTGGACAAACATTTATTGTTTTCATTGTAAAAAGCAAAATTCCTGTTACGTCGCGTTCACATCAACTAAAATTCCCTTTTTGTGTATACATCACTTCAGCTGCTCCATGCGTACTTCATAAATCTAAATATTATTTCAATTTTTAAAGTCACTTTTCACTGCACAAAATCATAAAAAATATTATTATAACTAACCCTTTCATTTCATATCATCATCATTAACCATCATGTTTCCATCCTCTCACGTTTAGAGCGCGTATCAGGTGCCAAACAATGGGTCACCGGTGCGGCGGGCGGTCGGCGGAGGGTCACAGCGCGGGACACCTACACGCAGCAGGACCCCGCAGCCGGCGCTCTCCATCCGAGGTGTTGACCCCAAGCTGGTGCAGTTGATATTAGACGAGATAGTCGAGGGTGGGCCTAAGGTGCACTGGGATGACATCGCTGGGCAGGAGGTGAGAAAACAAATTCAGTATTTAATAGTATTAAGATGAGTTCCTTCGAATAATTCCATGTACTTGCTTATAAGACATAAAATGCTATATGCAGTAACCTCGCCAATAGTACATATATTTTAAATAGTACAGTAAAGAATATTTAAATAATAATAATAAGACACTTTTAATCTGAAGAACAGTTATCTAATATCCTGATGGTAAGTGGTCATCGTCGAATAAACATAAGAACGATAATTGATATCACAGAAGTAAATTGGAAGCAAAAATAAAAATCGACAACTAATAGTGATACAATGGGGAACAACGCGGCAGTAAACCATACGTATAGCAAAAACATTCATCAAAATATATTCTGTTTTGGCGGAAATGCCAAGTGGTATGTACACAAAGTGTAAAATATAGTAAAAATGAGAATCTCCTCCGTTCGACATTCGGTTGAAAATACGCTGTGTAGTCTGCCGCTTAGCAGATATTTTAATATTTAGATATATAGCATGCCACTTTACCCTGTAATTTTACTGTCATATGTCATTCTTCAAACTGGAACTCAACTGCTTCGTAGTAGATATAATGTGACACTGGTTCCTGCACACAATTTTGTTATAAAGTCTCCCCTTATCTACCCTCCCTAGCGTTCAAAATCGCTTGACTGTAATAAAAAATAAATTAATCAACTTCGATAAATATATATGCTGTATTAAAGAGCTTTGTTATTTTGAAAATGTGCAATAGAATAAAGTAATACAGTACAGATCAAAATTATTACTGTCGGCCTCGGTCGTCTAGCGGTTTAGTTTCGATGGTCGCGGGTTTAATTCTTCGTACATCACAAGGATTTGTATTCATGAGTATGATTGTTTGTATTTGTCTGGTTCTGTTCTATGTATATTATGAATTCATTTACAAAAAATGCATCTAAGTATTTATATCAGTTGTCTAGTACCTATAACACAGTCTGCTTACCTTGGGACTATATTGTGCTATGAAAATTGTCCAGGGATATTATTAATATTAATGTTTTTTTATCGTTTGAAGAGTAGTTTGATACCTCAAAATTGCTGATTTTGTGTTTGAAGTACAAGTATTGCTAATTTGTCACAGTATTACGTGGTTAATTGTGAGAAATTGCGTATCTATCCTAAAATCACAACAAAAATATTAGTTCTGCCACTTTGTACTAAAATGTTAATAACAAAGTATTGTTAAGTTTAAACTTAGAATCCTTTTGTAATATCATTTTCTGTTGTGTATAGCGTATATAATTTGTTCTCAGACTGCCAAACAAGCGTTGCAAGAGATGGTTGTACTTCCTTCTTTGAGGCCTGAGCTTTTCACTGGACTGAGGTCACCGGCGAGAGGTCTTCTTTTGTTCGGACCACCAGGGAATGGTAAGTAAAGAATACTTTTATATCCTTATTTGTTGTACCTTACAAACTTCTTGTTCCCTTATTTACCTTGCTAACTTCTACATCGGAGACTCTTAATATAAGCGGTACTTTCATTAATATTAGCTTAACTTACTATAGTTTTTTTCTTTGTAAGTTCATCCTTTTATAGGTAAAGTTTACCAGGTAAATTTAAAAAAAATTGTTTTTTTTTTGTTTAAGTGTATCAGAACATATTTTATAATTCTAACCCGATTGTTGCATTAGTCTGGATTTATTTTTATCGTGTTTATTTTTAATATATATCGTAGGACTTTTTTATGTTAACTAATATAAGAAACTAATCAGGACTTTTACTATCAATACTAAATAAATAATAGATACATATACCAAAATACATATGTGTATATTTATAAATACGTTCTGTGATAAGCATATACGCAAAAACCAATACAAACAGACAACGAATCCGCGACGATCGAAAGGTGAGGCCGTGTGTAAACTGCTGCACCCCAAAGTTATTTAAAATTATTTAACTTTGTATATCCATAACACAATTTTTATCATTGTCAACATCAATGACCGCCCGTCCCTGTAGGTATATTGTACTGTTGTATATTCAATGCAGTTTTATGCAACATTGACTTTTGATAATATCTATTTAATGTATGCATTTTATTTATGTCGTATCTCGTAACTGATCTACATAAAATGGAGTCCACATTGTCAATAAAATAACTTTCTATATATGTATATATAGAGTTATTAGGGCAGAGGAAGACCAAAAAAGAGATGGATGGACTGTGTGAAAGATGATATGGTACGAAAGGTAGCAAATAACGAGATGACTGCGAACAGAGGTGAATGGAAGAGAAAAACATACATATTACGCCGACCACAAATAATGGGATAAGGAAGAAGCTGATCATGATATGTATTTATATTTCGCAACTGCTTGGTCTTTTGTATTTGCGATTGTTATATTTGAATACTGATATATCTATTGACTGTTTACTGCCACAATAAAAGAAAAAAAACAATATGTTTACATGCGTCGTGTATTTGATACAATAAGACCCCGGTTAACGTTGTTACGGTTCAGCGGTCCTTTATTTCAGCCCGGGGATTTGGAACCTAACGGAAAGACGTCGAGGAAATAGTTTCAACAGCAGCTAGTCTTTCTAATACTGAGCTCAAGGTATTAACTGAGCAAGAAGTTTTGTGACTGTTTTTAATGTTTTCTTTTACAGCTGGAACTTATCGGAACGTATCCACAGGGGATACGTTCTGATAAGTTGCAGCTAAGTTAAGCGAGGTCTTAATCTACATTACAAACAAATGATCAACTCTTTCCTCTTTATAATATTATTTTATAAGGTTTTTGAGAGAGCGTTGTGGCTGGCTACTGCCTCGATTTACATCTAAAAGGTTGTGAGTTAAAATCTGGGACACTAAAAGAAACTTTGTCGATATTATAAGATCTATATTAATATTATAAAAGAATCGATTTTGGTGGTCTAATGGTTTAACACGTGATAAATTCCTAGTGAATTGGCTACGATGGGCTAACTGACCTGACCTTATGTTCATCTTGTCATTCTCCACTGGTGACCCGCCAGCGTAAACCGTTAGGGCAAGCAGGTGCACCATTCCATTATCATACAAAAAAAAACGGGCCTAATTCAGAGAAGTAACCTACTAAGGCACCACGTTCCCTTATCTCTCTATAAAAATTTTATGCATTTCAATTCGAATCTTAAACTTTATAACAGTGAACTCAAAATTAATTTACAGGTAAAACATTGCTGGCTCGGTGTGTAGCCGCCGAGTGTTCGGCCACATTCTTCTCCATTTCAGCAGCAACGCTCACCAGCAAGTACGTTGGTGACGGCGAGAAGATGGTACGGGCGCTGTTCCAAGTTGCTAGAGAACTACAGGTATTGTGATCTATACTTATTAATAAGTATTACTTTTTTCTACTAATCTCAAATCCAATTGATTCTTGCGTAAAACAGGCATCGTTTTTTTGTTTATTTAACAAAGATAAGTACATTTTATTACTACGAATGGGGGAACGACCGAAATATTTTTTTTATATGTAGCTCATGTAAACAGGCGTTGGTTTTATTTATTTAACAAAGACAGATACAATTTATTATTACGAATGAAGGAACGAACGAAACATTATTTTTTTATATATTGCTCACATTTGTTATTGGTTAAACCTAGATCTATATGTATAGATGTACATTTATAGTTGTACATTTTAGATATAGAAATACTTTATATAATTACTTATTTAGTACAAATCGTACTCTTTTTAATTTTAATTTTTGTATTATTACCTAATGGGTTTGCTCTCGGTCTTACCTATACGCCATTGAGTCTGGGGTTGTATTTCTCAGGGAACACCAAAGCTGGAAGTGTATTCCACACTCTGGCGGTGCATATTAAAAATGATATATCATTTTGATAATGGCTGATTGAAATTCAAATTTGTGGAATGACATCGAAAGCATTGAATATAGTTTTCAATTCAACCCGCATTTTCTCAGCCGTCAATAATCTTCGTGGATGAAGTAGACTCTCTGCTGTGTGAACGGTCTTCCGGTGAGCACGAGGCGTCCCGCCGGCTCAAGACTGAGTTCCTCGTGGAGTTCGACGGATTGCCCGCCGCCGGTGCTGATAGGCTCATCGTCATGGCGGCCACCAATAGACCGCAGGAGCTCGACGAAGCAGCACTCAGGTAGCCAATGTGTACAATATACGCCTCGGTGGTATAGCAATCAAGCTTTACTTCCCATAGTCGCGGGTTCGATTCCTCGCACGGTGTAAGCATTTGTATTCATGAGTACGATTGTTCGTATCGGTCTGAGTGTTTTCTATGTATATTATATATGTATTTACATAAAAAGTAGTTAATTAAATCTATCAGTTGTCTAGTATTCATAACACAAGCTTACCGTGGGACTAGATGGCGCTGTGTTAATTATTCAAGGGTATTAATTATTATACTTTAATATAATATATTTTCCCGAGGTAGACTTTGTGTGGAGTCGTGTGTGGCTATCTCTGTTACCTATATCAGTCGCCAAACACCTTGCTTTTTGAGCTGTATTTCGGATTGAAAGATGGTAATATGATATAGTAGTTTTTTGGAAAAGCAATGCATGAGGTATGTCACGGGTGTCACGCGTGATGCCCGTAGTTCTGTTCTTGTATAAAGGCGACGGTTAACAGCTTACCATCAGGCGAGACAGCTTGTTAGGCAATCATATTACATTAACAAAATATATTTTTTTATTTGACGACCTCGGTGGTCTATCGGTCTAGTACACCGCTTTACGACCGATGGTCGCGGGTTCGATTCCACGCACGGCGCAAACAATTGTATTCATGAGTATGATTGTTTGTATCGGTCTGGGTGTTTTCTATGTATAAAATGTATGTATTTACAAAAAAAAATATCTATGTATATGTATCAGTTCACAAGCTTTAGATAGCATAACTTGGGTCTAGATGGCGCTGTGTGACTTGTCCTGAGATTATTATTATTATTTATTTTACCGCTAACTTCATTGAAAACCGCTCTCATCTGAATCGTTGTACAGACGGTTCCCGAAACGCGTGTACGTGTCGCTGCCGGACGTGCGGACGCGCGGCGCGCTGGTGCGGCGCGTGCTGGCCCGCGGGGCCGCCGCCGCCTCGCTCGCGGAGGAGGAGCTGTCGCGGCTGGCCGCCCTCACCGACGGCTACTCGGGCAGCGACCTCACCGCGCTCTGCAGGGACGCCGCGCTCGGACCCATCAGAGGTACGTCTCCAATATACTCCAATACAGGGTACATTTTTTTTTATTAATGATGACTTTTGTGATCACACATGCTCGTAAAATCGATCTAATTTCAACGCTTCTCGCTATATAAACCAGCACATAAAAGAATATACTTCACCATGGTGAAGTTATAAAATAAGTGTGTTGTAAACGCAAATAGTGAAGTTATATTCCATTACCGCACTATTACAGTATTTCATTTACCGTCGCACGGCGCCAGCCAGCGGTAGCGCGTTGTCATAAAATTGTTTAACTGCGTGCTGCTACTTTTTGTAGTCTATCAAAAAATACTACTAAAGACATTATATGGTACAATAATTAATTATTTTATTTTCACAGAATTAGACCCCGAGGAAGTGAAATGCCTCGACCTGTCGTTAGTCCGGAGCATCACTTTCCAAGACTTTATGGACTCGTTGAAGCGCATCCGGCCGTCCGTGTCGCCGCACAGTCTCGTCGCGTACGAGAAGTGGTCCGTACAGTACGGCGATCTCGGACTATGAACCAGAGCCATGAATGATACAGGTATTCTATTTTTTAAACTTATTCCAGTGCTGTTTTTTTTTCTAATGCTTTTTGGTATAGGTCGATATATATAGACTGGATAAGACGCACGACATCTTAGTCCTCTAGAATGGCGACATATGCGTACCCCAAGCGTCAAATGATAACGTAATGTTCATAGTGCCGTCTATGCATGTAGGCTACAGTTACCGCTTACCATCAGGGGGGACGCAAGCTTGTTTCCCATTCCAATTACTTAAAAAAAGTTGGCATTTACAACGTCACCGGAAGAATATTAGGAATGCAGAAGGGACTCCAAATACGTGGAAATGCTTATGTAGCGGCTGAAGACCAACTCCTGCTTGATGGATTTGATTTTAGTTTGAGGGCACCTCGAATGGTTTGAATCGCGTCTCACACTGTCGCAATCATAATTTCGATCCCCGTTTAACTAGGGCAGGGAGTAAATCGGAAGAGCAATACGACTCCGATTACTCCTGTGTTAAAGTACTTACTACATCATTTTTGTCATCGTCTTGATGCTTCCCTGATTACTGCCTAAGTGTTCATTATGTCGCATTCTTATGAGATTGAAATGGTTCTTTGCCATTTGCACACCTGTTTGAACAGGGAAATATCGCCTATATATGTTCTGTGTTACCACGGGTATCACAAAATCTTGTTATATATAATTATTTTATACATTATATTTAAAAAAAAATATATATTACCTATATCAGTCAATTATATATTATTCTTCTCGACTACGTCTTAATTTTTTTCTAATTGTTTTCAGGTCTTGACTCTTATTGAATAAAAAAGTAAGTCATACAGAAGAAGGATGAGGAACGGATGGAACGAAAGAAATGAAGCACATAGAGATTCACTTCTCGAAGGTTCTACCGCTCAAACAAAATGTTGTAACGATCGTATTTATCCCATGCATTTCCTTATTGTGACATACTTGAATTTTAATTTTAAGGTCATATTTTTAATAGAATATGGAATGGCGTCTAGTCAGAATATCGGTTTGAAATATATGTATTTTTGTAAGGGATTGCAAGGAAACAGGTGGAAGTTTGACAATGTATTGTTAAGGCAGAGATATTTAGCCGCATCTCAGAGGAGACTGTCTCGCTCTCATGCACAATAAACATTTACAATAATAGCCAGTAATTTAATATACTTTTAACTTGCTATAGAATCAATAATCAATGTTTATTGCATTCCATAATAATGTTTGATAAAAGATGTTGATACTTGATACATTTAGATCAAAATGCACGCTATTAGGGCACACAAACATAACAAAATTATTGTTTTAACAAATTATCAATATTCGACTAAAATATCTTCGCAACAGTAACCCCAAATGGGGTAGAGACTACTGTCATTGCAACTGTCGACGTCATGGTGAACGCACCACGTGACTCGGCAACATATGAAACATTTCGCTGAGTAATATAGGTATTTTTCGGAACTAAGAATCTACCTATGACTTTAAGAATAATGTAGTTTGTTATCGATATTCACAGTAGTGGAAGTCAGCCAGAAATATAAATTGACATACAATATTTTTAAATGAGAATTGTACTCACTACCTTTGCAGTCGACAAGTCGTAGTGAACCACTAGCTCAAGATACTTTCAGTCTGATTGTAATGTCTCTCATAATTAATTATAGTGACACTAACGTGTGATATTATATGACAAACAACTTGATTATTAAGATTTTTTAAGGAATAAACATTGATAGATTTACGGCTATTTATCTGAACCTGCCTCTCATTTAAATGTTGTGATAGCTATGTTTAAAGTGCACATTTACATATTTCAAATTAAATGAAAAATATTTTTTTCATGTAGGTTATTTTAGCCGTTTATGAACGTTTAGTTTATTATTTTGTTTTTTTTTTCGTCTATTGCCTAATAAGCCCTTTATTTAGCTACTGACAAAAAGCTAGTTACAATAGAGGGAATAAAGATGTTTTAGTTTTGTATATGTGCATAAAATATTAAACTTTTACAACATGTAAATGAGAATATACTAGTTTAACCATATAATAAGCCGAACGGACGGATCATTAATGCAACTCGACTCAATAGAGATGTCGCTTTCAATGCTCATATTTGTATGATTTGAGAAATTTACGCTTCCGTGCTCAATACCTTCTTAATTGAGTCGGGTTATATTAGCCCTCTACTACAACCCGTCCAAAATTAAAAGGATCTTGTATAATGGTATAAAATTAAATGACATTTGTGTTAATTTTGAATTCTAACCTATTTGGCTTGTTCGGCTTATTTTTATTTCTAAATTTGGGTAGGATCTTACATAAAGAAATATTAAGAAGATTGCCTTGCATTTTCGTACATAACAATACTACCATGATATTATACTTATAGTCGTTTTATATAACTATACTTATTATATATTTAACATTTCTTCCAGGACGTATAATAAAATGCGGGGTTAATTCCAATTTCCTATATAATACTTATGCAGAATATAATAATGTGATGAAATTTCTTACAATTTATGTTTTAAATTATTTTCTAATGTTGACATCTTTTTTCTTTATTACAATAAAATAAAATAAAATACCAGACCATAGATACAGAACAAATAGTTAACCTGTACAAATTGTGTTTACCATTTATTTTTAGTGTAGGCAATACCTCATTTTATTAATTAAATTAATTTAATGGTCGGAAACCCTGAAATAATGTTGAAGTCTGAAAATAAGAGTAATTTATATAAGCACACATATATTTATCCTCACTATAACCAGTGATTTTGTATTATTATTTTTACAAAAGGCGTACTATTAATTAATTACGCATAGCAACTTTTTAATATAAATAAATTTATTGTTATTAATGTACTTATTCTAATTCTGTTGATTATTCATTATTTTTAATCGTGTATTGCTACAGATGTATGTTTAGACAACGGTGTCGATTCTAAAGATGTCGTAATCCTATGTAGTCCGTAGACGATCGAGCCTCGGAGCTCGATTTTGTATAAGTCCTTATTTTTTTATTTAGGAAAATCTATGCATCTTTATTAAAACAAATAAAACTTATTCTAAATTCAAACAATTATCTAAATCATTAACCTTTTCTAGGTACGGAATCGACACCATTATACTGTGCTAGTTTTATTATTTTCTCTATGACAGTTCGTATTTCTTACAAGAGTCCTGCTTTTAGAAGTAATGTATAATATAATTAAACATGACTAGTCAGTACACAAATTATTTTGAATTCTTTTACATTCTAAGTCAGTTGTCATGGAGAAAATAATAAAATTGACTAGCTGTTAGTAGTTATTTTTGATTATACATTATTGCATAATGCTGCAAATCTTATGAGTATTTGTATCACATAAAAGACGGGTAGAAACCACTTCCTTACAGTAAGCAGAGAACAAAACGTTTTGCTCAAACAGTTATAACGCAATCTGGCGTTTGGAGCAGTGTAGTAATAAAAAATAATATATTTTCATAATAGTTTGTTATAAAATTGTCTATCTCTTCGATTTAATGTTATTGGAAAATATCAATTATTGGACCACGCATTTGTATTTTAGTCGACACAGTGGGTCACTTAGTAACGCGGAGTTTTAGGGTGATCTCACACTGGCGATTTGATAGCGAGTACATAAATATTTAGACGCGGGTCCCGGTGAACAGTCTTTTAGACTCGTTCGAGTCTTAAAAATAACTAAAGTGATGTGAGAACAGGACGGGGTGTAGTCTAGACAGCGAGCTCACTACGTGGTAGTAGCGAAGAAGCTTCACTTTGAATTCACCAACAAATCGGTAGTGTGATGTCACTATTATATAAGGTTTTTCTAAACTTTTATGCAGACTTTGTAAGTCGTCGTCCATAATGCAGTGATTCCCAAAGTATGGGTATATTTTGAGTGGATCCTGCATGCAAGCATCACTAATAAATTGTATCACTACTAAAATTAATAATATTTCTCTTTCTAAAAATTCGACCTTATTGCTATTAAAACAATTGAAAGTTACAAAATATCTGCAATCTAATTTAGAAGTGCCGTATATATAAAACAGACAGTCGAGATTTAATATTGTAATCTTTATTTGTATCTATAATTAAATATTTATACTATTAGATATGTCATTTCGGTGCAATGCCCATGTCAGTACTTTAATTGATATTCTTTTACCTCTGAACGAGAGATAAAACCTTTAATAATCTACTTTTTTTAAAGATACCTTTCATATTACATATCTTTGTTACGAAAAAATCTCGATTGTTCTAGAAGCCTGGTCAGAATTTTATATTACAGCTATTTTAAATAATTCAAATTTAATTTGTGTGTCAATTTTTCGTTTTATTTCTGACCAGTCCTCGTAGCTCTGCTCGCCGTTAAACCACTTAGCCAAAACATTTGTAATAACTAATTATTAATAGTTGTAACATATTTCCTAATAAAAGACAGCGAGTAGCAGTTAGTGCAGTTGAAAGTAGCCGTTATTTTTAGATTATTAGAGTATTTATAGTTGTTTCCAATATGTTTATGGCTGTTTGTGGTTGCAGCATGGTTAATTTTTTTAATAAGAGCTGTAACATATGTACTTTTGGATATGACCATTACTTGGTGTGTTGTTGTATATTGCAAGGTTTATAGTTTTCTTTCAATAGGAGTAAGATGTGGGTATACGTGTTCTCTGTTTAGAACGGTCGGCAAAGTTTGCGTGTTACAGTTGCTTATTAGCTTTTTTTAATGTAAGCGAATGCTTTTTAACAATGTTTTTTAATCTGTATTATCGCTTTTTTCTGAATTTATAATGTATTAAAAATTAAACATGCTGCAACTACGAATTTGTAGATATGCTAATTGTAATAAATAGAATTAACATTTCTAGTTGTAGTCTGACATAGAAATTCATTTAAGCTCTTTAGATAGTGTAATTGTAACATCTAAAGCTTGCCATACACTACCAGATTTTAGGCAAAGGTAACGTACATTATCAACCAAATTTGGTTTAAATTTGAATTGAGAATTGTAGTAAATATCATAGGTAGGCTTTCATTAATAAATCATGTCTTATATATATTCTTCTCTGTATTATTCCAGTATATATATTACAGACAAAGTAGCCCATAGATATATCCTTTATTTGTATTCAGGTTTATGTACATCTACATATATTTCTTGTTCGAATTCGTTCATTTTATAAGTTAATATTTTATATATGTATACATATTAGTAAAATATACTTATATTTTTGTTGACATTTCAAGTTTTAAACATATATAATAAATTTGTATCGGTTTTATATTTATATATTTTGCCTATTAATTTTCAACTTTGTACAAATGAAAGAAAAAATTGGAAGTGTGTGGTCAAAAGTAGTCGTGATTAAAATTGAAATCGTATAAGATTGTGAATATCGATGTTATTTATCGATACAGTGTTAAGTGTATAAGGGGATATAATTGTCAGTTAAATTGGAACATTGTTAATTCTGTTAGAACCACTTCTCTGTTTAACGGAATTATGCCTTTTTTAGGTTCGATTCTATCAAGCTGAATGGTTCTTCAGAATTAGTGATGGGACAACCACTGACTTATATTGGTATAGTGTCAAATCTTTGTATCGATATCGATATTTGTAAAGTTGGCAACAGAGTGTGAAGTTGTATTAGATGGGCAAGTGTGCAAATATTGTAGTTGTGATTTTGTATTGATTTTAAAACTGTTTCGGTTGTGGTCCTTTTGGATTGTTTGAATTACTCAATTGTTTGTTTGTATATGAATATATATGAATTAATGAATTTAGGAACGTCAGGATAAATCGTGTTAATTCGAAAAATATAAATTTTTAATAGGTATATATATGCAGTTGATATTTCTTTTCATACATTTTTTTTCGTCTTATTCTCGGAAAAGAACTATCCTATGAGTTAAATAACTATTACAGTGCTATAACATATTCTTTTAAATTAAGAAAATAGGCCGAAATGAATGTTACGATACTTCAATAACTAAAGTACATTTATTAGAGGGATTAGTGTTTTTCTGAATAAGGGTTTAAGTCAAAATATTGTTCTGCTATTACAGACTTTTTAGTATTTTTCAGACGTTGAGCTCGAAATCAATTATTGACTATTAATACATTGGTTTCATATTTTATGGTCCATTGAATGGCGTCGGTGATCTACCGGTTTAGCACACCGCCTTACTTCTGGTGATACTTATGGTTGCGGGTTCTATTCCTCGTACCATGCAAAAAATTGTATTCACGTTTGTATTGGTCTGAGTATTTTCTATGTACATATATTATGTATGTATTTAAAAAAATTCTATCCGTTGTCTAGTACCCTTAACACAAACACTGCTTAGCTTGGGACTAGATGGCGTGGTGTGAAACCAGGGTTATTATTATAAATGAGGTAATAAACATTGTCAATAGATATATTCAAATTACTAGTAACTTGTTTTTGAATTGGAGTGGATTGAAATCTATATTGAAATTGGAATTGAGAGTACACAGAACTGCAAACATAAAACATATTCTAAAACTGTTGTTCCTGAATTCATGATAAACTTTACTACAATTGTGAAAAATTTCGCTTTTTACTAATGATTGTTATTAATAATGTTTGTTTGACCTTTTAATATATAATTAATTTTTATGTCTTTTATAAAAGTTTTCTACATGGTCATGTTTTAATTTAGAATATAAAGCATGTTTAAAGCACAATTGGTTATAAATTTTATTCTAAAATGAACAGCAATTAAGGAAAACAATCGGCGTTAAAGAATGTGAGGAAAAGCTTACTTTTCAAAATCAAAGTAAATATTGTAAACTGCAGTTTAAAGCCATAAAATCAATCTAAAACTATCGAAGAAGTTAACGTTTAGTTTATTGGTATTGCAATTGTTATTTCACAATTTAATTTAAGATTAAATACTTTCATAATAGTATCTAATAAACTCGGAAATGTTCACATTCTTATTCGTACATAGTGTAAATGTAAACAGTCAATACAATCTGAGTACATAATTCAAAGTTTAATTAAATACCTATTCCCATACAAAAACTCATGCAAGTTGCAGTCGGGATGTACTCGGAGGGTCACTGCATATATAAGCAATGCAATTCGCAATATATTCATATTTGAAAGGGTTTTATATTGTCGGTGAATATGTTAGAAGCCGAGTTGTAATGTTGACAACTCCAATTCTCAAATGGTTGCAATATTCAATGTGAATGAAATGAGAATTATTAATTGCTTTTCATAATCAAGCCTCTAAACTCATATTGTTTGTGAAATTTCGCTTCGCTGTGATATCCTTAATAAGTCGCCTTTTTTTATTTTACACGCATGCTTTTATGACACGTTTGCACTGATTTATTGCGAATTTCAGACTACCCATTACACCAATAATTGTATATATTTTTTTATATTTCCTAATTAATACATCATTCAGTATGTACAAAACTTGTATTTTTTCCCTATGTCGAGAATGGAAGTCGTGTTAACGGTAGTAACTTTTGTGAGTCTGCTATTAATTATCGTGAAATATCTACTGATATTAACTTTTCATAATATTTTTTTTAGATTTCTTTTATATAAATAATATTCTATGTTGGTGTAATGGGTAATCTTAAACATGATTTAACGAGCTTCGTATCATATAAGTAACGGATTTGACTGATTTGTTACCTAATAATAATCATTTTTATAGTGATTTTTGATGTTACGGTAATTAAATTTCATAAACTCAAAGCAAGTTCAAAGCCAAGTACCGTATTCGGGGCGATGAAAATTTCAAATAATATTTCGAGGACTTATGAATTAAAACTATAACTTGTTGTAATAACTTGTTGTAATAAGAAATTCGTAATAACCTTATATCTATTGGAGATATAATTACATGCGTATATAGTACTATATACTATATTCATTGTGTCTCCCTTAGTACCTATTGCTATTGAGAATAAAACAACTTGTGATAATTACTTTATACGTCAAATATTGACGTTGATGTCGTAATTCTGTGAATAAATACAAATAAACCTCAGCCTCTAACGCATTAAAAATTCTAAGACATGGTTGTAATTTTATTATTACAATTTCGCCTTAAATATCTTGTTGTTTTAATTTAAGCGCACGAATTTATCAATTTTTACTAACATTTTTATAAGTTAAGCAATCGTTGAGTAATGCAAAATGATGTATTTTTTCATAAATTTCATAAAATAAGCACACTCTTGCCTAAAATGTCGTGAATGTACACTACGCATATGTGATACACGATTTACAAATAAACAATTAATTTGTGAACTCTGTTGTTTTATTCATAACTAGCGACCCGAATTCGCCTACGAATGCATTACAAATCTTTCAATTTCACGGTTTGTTCTATATTATATCAATTGCTAAAAACTACCAACTTCAAATCCGTTATTCAAATTTAAAAGATATAAGCGAACAAACAGCGGCCGTCACTTTGTTTTATACCGTGTAAAGAAGTACGTTAAGAGTTCATAGTAAGATGGGACCACCGCAGTGAGTATTTCTAGAATTCAACAAATTGATATATATAATAAGAGTGGGCTCTGCTCTCGCCCCGCATTGTCCAGTGAAGCTGTAAAGATCAGTTATGGACAATAGTTTCATTTACACGACACATAATTTCACACGCTAGTTAGCACTAAAGCCAGCGCGCGTCATAGTGAGAGATTTTTTTTGTTCACTTTCGCGCGTGTTTGCGCGATTGATTCATGTTAACTCATTTCTTTTAAAATTTTATTTTCTATTTCACTTGTATTATTTTTAAGAGACACGATTTATAATTTAAAAATAATTGATAACTATATTTAGGCTTTGTTCCTTAGTGAGATATACCTGTGCCATTTTGCAATGATAATTATATTTAAAAAAAGGTGGTAAAGCACGCACGGTTGGAAAAACTACGGCGCGCGGTCTTTCTCGTTCTCTATGTCTACATTTACATACTAATTTCTTCCCACATGAAAAAGCGTACTGTAGAGGCAACTAATAAAATAATAATTCGAAAAAAAATCATAGTTTCAGGAATGTGGATTAACAGTATTCTTGTGGAATATATCTATAATAGTTTGAAAATGACGTAAATAATAGCTCTCATTTACCAACCATTTGTAGTGTAAATAGCGATAGGTACGCAATTTATGCCTCCACTTACCTTATTTTCAATTTGTAAGTACTAATCAGATACCCATTATACATTGTTAGGTGGAAACAAAAACATCCAATACTTAAATGCGATTATAGTATGAATAAATAAAGAAATTATAGGTTGGTAGTTCTATTTTGTAAGGCAATTGCTTCTAGAAAATTCTATAGAAATATCTTCAGAATTACTTTTTATTGACTTGATTTAAAACAGCGAAGTAGGAATACGAACAACGCAGAATCTGTAAATAAAAGGACGTAGATTAAAATAAATATACTTAAAACAACAAGATTACAAATATACACTTGTGGTAGGAGGAATGGTTATGTACCTACTTATTAGTCTATAGTCTGAGACACAATAAGAATTGAATGGGAATACAGTTTTACAATAATATACCAAAGAATATATTTTAACTATTAACGAAATACTTAAATATATTTCTAACGTCACCACTATGACCATAACATAAAAAAATAACAAACCTACCCTTACAAATGTAGGTCTTGACAGCGTTATGTAGTGTCCAGCCTGGAACAATATGGGTTTCTTCAAGCACTCCATAGCGAAACACAGTTTCTTTTTTAGTTTCATATCTTGTTCGTGCCACTGACACAAGTACAATTCGTTTCGTACATCTTCACTCTATAAACACAGGTAATATAACGTAACGTAACGTATAACGTAACGTAACGTAAGTTTATATCACGGATATATTCGTAGATATATATAATAAGGAATACCTAATATTACTACATTATATTGTTTTAAGTATGTAATATTAACTTCTATCTGTGGTTTTAAGTGAATCCTATAAAAAAGAACTCTACTTTTATTTCTGTTATAAAAGTAACGTCCTACTAAAAGAAGATAAGAATCTATAATTGTTCATAATACATCGAAAAAAAATCGTAATAATTATTATCCTTAACAGTTCACACAGCGCCACCTAATTCTAAACTAAGCAGAGCTTGTTTTATGGGTACTAGACAAATACGTACTTTTTTTAAATACGTACATAAATTAGACAGAAAATAGTCAGTCCATTGCACACAACCATACTCATGAATACGAATGTTTCATTGTAAGAGAAATCGAACCCTCGACAGTGTGCTAAACCACTAGACAATGAAGACTGTAATCATAATAGAAAATGCGTGTTTAAAAAATAAACTCATATCCTGTTAAATATATTATTCAAAAATATGATTTGAAATATTGTTACCCGTTTCGTTAACTCGTTGCCGCTCCAACAGTAAAAGAACAGTTGCGCCAGCATGTTTAACATGTAATTTAACGACGAGTAAAATTCAAATGTATTAGGTGGTTCCTGTGTGGATAAAGAGAGTAATTTAAAAAAACATTAGAAAACAGAAGAATAGAGCAATTTAGTCAAAAGGCGTCATTTAACACCCGAGAAGAAAACAGTAGTATTATTTATTACCAGAATATATTTATAGTTATAAAAAAATATACGTTTATTCTATCCTTAAGTAGGTACTTACCACAGACAGTCTAAATCCTAACATGCAAACTATAATAACGGATCCACTGAGTTGAAGAAATATACTAAGGTGGAATAAGCCCTCTACTAACTTCACGTATCTGCAAACAACACAAATAAATATTTATTAAAAGCAGTGCCTATTCTACTTTGAAATTTAATTATTATTTTTATTACTCAAAATATATAACTTATAGTACCTCAAAATTATACCACAAAAAATTTAGGCGACAAGTCCTTTAAGGTATAAGTATCTGACCTCTATTTAATGCCTAATGATGCCTCCGTTCAGAGGTGACAGGAGTGCAATTAAAAAACCCATGAAGTAATAAAAAAAAATTTTTTTGATCGTATAAAGTCTGAAACGAGTACTTAGGTATATACAAAACCGAGTTCAGTATATACCTGTTGTTATTTTGAAAATTGAAACTTAAGACCCGTAGTCCGAAATCGAAATACGGTGTCTTTCAAATAATTTGCTACAAATCCTGAGTGGGTTAATTCGACACTGATGTACACGGCACCGACAGCTTACTGAGACACCGCGAATGAATTACCTTCGTAACTGTACAAGCACACTAGAAGTAATTGTTCTTTGTCAGTTTGGTGCTGTAAGTCGCGATCTTTAGTTGGAAGATCTAGAAAAATCTACTGGCGCCTATCGGTATTGACATCGCTCCCGTCAGCTAGTGACCACGGGTAGTGCTACGTAGTCGAAACATCAAGAAAAGGAAGAAAAGATAATTGGTGTTAAGACCCGATTAACCGATTAAATATAATTGTTCTTGAGTTTTTTTGTACTGATTTATCCGCGAATTACTTGGATAATTTATATATATACTGAAAACTTACTGTATTATACTCTGATGTTGACTAATACATTCATCAAATAGATTATTATTGATACTACAGCGTTCTTCTTCTCTGATATTTATTCGTTGCCCCGATGGTACACTTCGGATCTTAAATAGTTAAATAACTTTTTATTAGTCATGTATATATCTAATATAATATATAATAAATATCCAGTACCTACATACTGGATATTTAGTAATTATTTAAATATCTAGTATTTATTTTTATTATTATTTGATAGTCCACCTAAACCACCGGGTTTAGCAGTTTTATTTCGAATGGTCGCGAGTTTGATTACTCGCACGGTACAAAGATTTGTATTTATGGACATGGATGTTTGTATCAGTGTTTTTTGTGTATAATATAGTTGTATTTACCAAAAAATATATAACTAAATATTTATATCAGTTGTCTAGACTTGAATTGTCCATATATTATTATATTTATTCGTATAATCTATGCATATGACCAATCAGTATCTGTACATGGAAGATATATAAAGAATCAATTATTAAAATATTTAGTACCATTATGTAATATTATGTTATCTGTGGTACAATCTTGCGTTCATTTTGCTTTTTTACTTAAATGTATGCTTTTGTTGAACCCTACATATTGTTGCAATTTTAGTCGGTCTGTTCATTTTGTCCGCGATAATAGCAATACAAATGAGGATGTTTCTATAATTCAAATACTAACAGTCACATCTTTTTCAAGTTTGTATGTGATTGTGTGATCATGTAATGTGATCATGAAGCACCAGAATTTAAATAAAAAAAATCTAATTCGGGTCTACTATCAAAACACTACATATACATGTATTTGCTGCCATCCATGTTTATGAGGAGAAATAAATAAATAAACATCTTTAGACCGTTGCATCCTATTATTTTAAATGTACATACTGTACAATAAAGTGTTACAAACAAACGAACAAAATATTAAAATAAAAGTTCTGAGTATTATAAAGTTTGTTCATGTCACATCTTATTAAGATTATAATCGCGAAAGTTTATGAGTACGGATGGATGTTTGCTACTCTTTCACTCAAAAACTACTGAACGGATTTTGATGAAATTTTACAGTAATATAGCTTATACATAGGGATAATATATAGCCTATAATTTAAAAAGGTATTATGTATGTATGTGTAGTAAAATGGGCGAAAAATAATGATAAATATCAAGTGGGATGCAGATGAAATTGAACGGGTCAGATAGTACAATATATATCACCTTTTGTACTTTGTCTTTGATGATATCAAGTTGTGCGCAAGCGAATGTGATAGCCGATATTATAAAACCGTCTATGCCCATGAACATGTTGGCGCACATTATTCCGAACAGGCTCTGGTAGATGTACCCCAGTTGATAGCCTGGTGACTTTTGCGTATCCGCAGGCATCCTTCGAACATAACTTTGCGAATTAGTATCAAGTAACTCTCGGCTTGCCGGCTTCAAAAGGAAGGACCAAGGAGAGGTAATTTTTAGTAATTATTAGTAATACTAATAATAATAATAAACTCTGTATTGTGCAAATAGAAGAAAAACAATAAGACAATTTGTTAATTGTCTCTTGTGGTCTAGCGGTTTTGCATACCGTCTTACTTACAATGGTCGCATGTTCGATTACAACATCGGTACAAACATTTATATTCATGAGCATGATTGTTTAGATCGTTCTAGGTATTTTCTATGTATATTATGTATGTACAAAAGAAAAGTATCTATCCAATAACATCAGTTGTCTAGTACCCATAACATAAGCTCTACTTAGTTTGGGTCCAGATGGTGCTGTGTTAATTGTCCTGAGAAGAACTATAATATTCATCAATATCGTATAATAAAAAAGATTTTATCTTAATAAACGTAGATATATGAGCGTACCACATCGTGTAAGGGAAAGTTTTAACATCACCCTGGTTTAGTAAAGGTATTATACACCACTCGACAACGTTTATGTTGGCTGTTGCCACTAGAAATATCGTTAAGTAGCGCGCCTTTCGGGCCTGCTCCATTAGAATGCTGCAAGTATAAAATTGTATTATTTTTTCTATTTCAAATTATGTGTTCACCAAAGGTAGACAGGAAAAAGTCATTTTAGTCCTCCCCTCAGCAAGTCGGCAAGTCCCCTACAGTCGCAAAGCAGCTTGCTTTGAAAGTTGTATTCCGGATGTAGGGTGCAGATTAGGCAGTAAAATAACAGATTTAAAGCAATGATATCTAGTCCTATGAAATGGCAACGCCTGAATGTTATCATGATAACGTGATGTCCGTAGCATTGTTCAAGTACCTATTCATGTTCAGGATCGGCAGCACACACCTGACACTTGAATTTCAGGTGTCCATAGAATACAGAAACCTTTTTCCATGAAATAGGGCGAAAGCGTATTGTGTGGTATAAAATAAAAGGATATAGGTATTGTATACATATAGGTATAGATAATTTCAAATTTTAATTGAAAATACTAATTCATCACAAATAATAAATCAACATACTCTTCTTGTCGTCTTGTCATTGGCAAAAATATGTCTGAATTCATGAACTCCAATAAGTTCAATATAAATTTTTTGTTCACCACGAAAACTGTAATTTTAAAACATGTCGACGTTTCTGTAAATAACACGTACAAAGCATTCGACATCGCTTCAATATTGCCCCACACAACTCCCAGATATATTAAAATTGACAATAGAACACTGTAATGTAATAAAAAACCAAAAAATCTATATATGTTGTTTAAAGATTCATATTTTTCCGACACAATCCAGAGACCGCAGTATTTTAATAAACATGTCGGCAAACCTAAAAATATTTTTGCGTTATTAAAAGTCATACTGAACTAATGTTATTCGAATTTCAGTTCAGTTTTGTTCATGAGACGGAATAATGCACAATTTTATATTTGCTTGCCACCTTCAGTACAAATTACCTAGTGATAATCAATAGTATAGGCTGTTGTATTATAAACGTGAAAGTTTGTTAGTATGGATTGATAAATGGATGGATGGATGTTTGTTCAACTCTCTTACGCAAATACAACTCAACGGATTTTAATGAAAATTTACAGTATTAACATATAGACTCTAAAAGATATTCTGTAAATTGGGTGAAATAAAATGAAATGTCAAGTGTGATGCAAAAGAAATTGCATGGTCAGCTAGTATTTTATATTTTATTAACACTGCATCCTCTAGTTCAGCTGTCTGCTCCAGTGGGAAGTAGGAAGAAATTTAACTGGTATAAGGTAGTAATAGTAAATTAATAGCAAATTATATACATATAAATATACCTAAATAGAATGACAATTATACAGACATCACGTTACAACTTCGGGAGACTAAGATGTCATCTCTTCATCATCTGTCTATCCTTATCTATTGCCCTAAACCTTTCCAGCCAATTTTAAAAAGCGAGCTGCTTGGCGGGATAAAATATATGAGACAGAATTATCCACGCAAACAACTTTGTTAAAGTCTATTTCGGAAAATACTCATCTGTGAGAGGAAAATATCAAAATGTAAAAGGAGTTCCGGTAATCCCACCCTAATTGTATCCACTCGAATAGGTATTAAGCGACAAAATAATTTTATGGTACATAAAGGTATTTACCTCTATCGACGTTTCAAGTAGGTGACGGCACTAGCCGTGGTTATGAGCTGACTGGAGTAACAGTGATATCGCTGTTACTCCAGTCAGCTCATGTCGGTACGTGTCAGCAGTTTTTTCTACTACCGTCGTTAGATTAACCAACGACACACAGCCTGACAGTACCCGTACATATATTGATTAATGCTACCGAAATTTGTTCGAACTTATTTATTACTGGTTTCCATGTAGATGATAATTTTAGGTCATCTTCTCATTTGGGTAAGTTTTAATGTCAATCGCCTCCCATACCGTGGATAATAGTGGCATCAGTAGAGAGGACTTTGGGCATATACAACTCAATCCAGTGATTTGTTCCAGCATTCAGGAGATGGTCGGCAATCGCAATCTTGTGTGGTTATAGGTTTCGAAAACTACGATATACTCTTGAGTCAAAATTAAAATAACACAACCTGTAAATCTAGTATTAATTAAAACTTTACACCTGCAATTAGATTTACATTACTATGCAAATTGTTATTATACTGTAGGAGTACTACTTGTATGAAACTTTATATTTAATTGTCAGTTTTGATGTGTTTTAGTTGTTCTAATGTACGTATTTCTTTGTTGTACAATTTGCAAAGATTTCAAAATATATAATAACGTACCCAATAAACCATCCAAATTATGTATTTCAGTATCGATAATGATGGACTAGTCAATCCACCTGATAACCCTGAAAAGCGTGTATTATGAATACATACATCCTTAACATATAAATTTAAATAACATATATACGAGTAATTAATGTATACCTACTAGCTGTCCCGGCAAACGTTGTAATGCCTTAAAATAAAAAAAAAAATTAGGGGTGGACTACCCCTAACATTTAGGGGGATGAAAAATAGATGTTGACCGATTCTCAGACCTACTCAATACGCTCACAATATTTCATGAGAATCGGTCAAGCCGCCGTTTCGGAGGAGTATGGGAACGAAAACTGTGACACGAGAATTTTATATATAAGATCTAACACGTGTCAAAATGGGTGCACATTCAAGATTCAATTACGGTCGGATTTTGGTCAGTACTAAAGAAGGTCGTCATACCTACTTTTAGTATCTAATTATGGTCAGATTTTGACACTAAATATTTGTAGTCTCACACTTGCCAATGGTAGATAACGGTATTTAACAAAATAATATAGGTAAATCCATTAAGTAAGGACTGTTATAATAAAATAGATGTACGTTATTTAAAATATTATATTTTAATTCTACACTCACTAATAACATTATTAGAATTAAAGATTACTGAATAATTGCGAATTCATCTTTATCATATAGATAAATAAACGAGTGTCTTTAGTTCTTATTAGTTTGGTTTAAAACTGCGAAGTAAGAGTAGGACATTCGGAGAATCTGAAATTGAAATAATTAATTTAATGAAACCCATTTTAATGTTTAGAACGAATTTACGGAAGGAAAATAAATAAACTGGTTCATTGTTTTCAGGCATCAACAAGTATACCTACACCTGACAAGGACTTTTTTTATGAATTCCAAACAGCATAGCATATAACAGAGGAAAACAAGAGCCATGAAAGAGCTCTTCAATATGAACACAAACATGAAAAAGGAATGTTTAGTAATTATAATACTCAATTTTATAATCTTAAATAAATTATGTAAATACATATACTAAGTCATGATGAAAATTATGACTTCGATTTACGGTTTTTTTTTATAACAAGGCAATATTTTCAGGTATTCATACCTGAGATCCACGTAAATCTTTTATGATCGCACTAATTCGGCCGAGTTTGAATAAAGTATTTAGTCCTGTCACAGTTAAGAGTTAGAGGTTAACTTTGATCTCCTCTAGATATTAGAGGGTCAGCTAAAAGATCGGCAGTAGCTCTAGGATGCAGATGAGTAGAAGTTTCCAATGGGAAGCTACTGTACATGACAGTATCACAGAACAGATTCGCTTATAATCCTGGGACTGATCGCAAATGTACTCAGAGAAAAAAATAGATATTAGAGGGTAGAGTGCATATTTCGCAAAGATCATGTTTCACACAAGCGGGCTACAAACAGGTAAGATGTGCTTCATTTTGACAAGAATTTGCAGTTTTTTACTTACAGTCACAAAAGTTTGCCTTGAAAGTGTTATGTAATGTCCAGCACGGAATACCATGGGGCGACTCATGCGCATCATGGCGAAACATAGATCGCGTTTAAACTTTATATCTTGTTCGTACCACATGCATTTATACATAACTGTGTGCAGTTCTTCGCTCTGTAAAATGTAGACGACGATGAAAATAGAGTTAATTATTATGGAATTCAATACAACATACTTATATATTATACATGTTATAATATAGTAGTATAACATCTCAGAGCAATTTACATAGCGCCACCTAGTTTCAAGCTACACAGAACTTATGTTATGGGTACTAGAAAAATAATAAGTATACATAGAAAATACCCAGACCAATACTAATAATCATAGGGTCGGTAAATGTCACCCATTTCAGATGCCAAGCAGCTTGCATTGTAAGATGCGTTTCGTTTCTAAGGCAGTAAATAGCGAAGGTTATCTTAGCTTGATAGTTACATCTGATATTTTGACAGTTTATTCGTCATTTAAATGATATAAAAAAAATTGATTATTCCAGATTAACTTGTATGAATCTGGTTACGTGACATTAAGAGTAGCCTACTCTAATCCTATCATAATACAATAGGCTATCCAATCAACAGTAATAATCCGGAGAAAGTACTTAACTACTTAATAAGACAAGAAAGAACTAGTAAACGAAAAAATAATTAAAAAATACGCACTAAATAGGTACTGTAAAATATGTACTCACACCAGCAGTAAGCTCATGTCCGCACCAACAGCATATAAACAACTGACATGTCATCACCGACAAGTACAGGGCTATTGAGAAAAACTGCATACTCTGCCAATCTATCTAAATTATAATACAATATATATTTGCAAACAAAATATTACCGCTAATTATCAATATTCACTATCTTAAGTTGGCTGGAAGAAATCTCTTTTAGAGATAAACCCACTTTTGCTGACCTCCTTTTTAATATCCATTTATTATTTTAAATTGTAATACAAGTTTAATTCAGAATTATGTTGCATTTAAAAGCAACTTAGAATATCTTCAAATTCAAATTCAAAAATCATTTATTCAAGGTAAACTGGATGGTAGGGAAAAATATTAATACAAAAATTAATATTTTTACGTACCGTACAGTTCAGTATACAGATTCAATTGAGAAGAACTGGCAAGAAACTCAACTGAATTTTTATTAATTCCAGCTTATTTATATGGTATACTTATATAGATGCTATTTTTTTACTTATCTCATAAGTTATAATGGTGGAGAATAAATAATTAATTATAATAACGAATGTCGATTAATGAAAAAACACTAACCACTAAAATCCGTAATGCGGACATACAAACAATACCAACTGACCCGGAGAGTTGAAAAAACAAATACGTGTGGTACGTGTTTTCAGCCAGTTGAGTGAGTCTAGAAATATAAAAAAAAATTGTAACCTATACAAAATATAGGCATGTCAAGTTCATTCACAAGATTTTACTACCCCATCTGGGATATTCTTGTCATTCTAGGATACTTCTTGTTCTAGGCTACTACAAACTGAGTGCGTCCTAACCTAACCTATTTCTGCCTGTGGATTGATGACCCAATTGCTAGCGATGTACCCTGTCAGGTTGACTTTTCACTTCGGTTTCACCCAGAAACCATCCTGATAAATTCTTGGTGAATTTGTCACGATGTGCCTGACCTGACCTCATATTCATCCTATCTGTACTCATATCAGTCCTATCATCCTTTTAGTGTATAATAATCCATTATCATCCACTAAATAAACCTATTTCTGCCGCCAGCAGCTTGCGTTGAGTGCTGTGTTTCACTTGAAGGTACTTTTCCGAACCCTCTCTGATCGACATCCTGTCCCATACAATCAACGATCAATAGAACGACCCAAGCCGAGGTCTAAACCCGTAGAGGTGCGGTAACCATAGAGTCAAATGACAGCTCACCTTTAACCGCTCCATAAGTTCTTCCGCGAATACTTCTTCATTCACCTTTAATTTTATGCGGTGAAGCTATAAGGCTAGCTACAGCCTACAGCGTTAGAACATTTTATAGTATAAACGATGCTATCGTTCAGTGGATTATTGAAATATGGCACAGATACAATATCTAAACCCTAATGAATGACACCTCATTGGTAGTATCTGACCGAGATCTCAATATATTACGTCAAGTCCATCGTATTGTTTATTGATATATGTTTTGACTATTTCCCAATTCTTACTTACGTTATAACGGCTTGATGCTGCACTACACACTCAACAAGTATTTTATGATTATCTGTTAACAATTTACTACGCGCACTCCCTTTAGTATTACGTGTTGAAGCAACCTATAAAAGTAATAAAAACCATATAGCTAGAGACTATTATGTAAAAGATTCTTAGATCAATTAATTTTTCTCCTTTTACTCGATTATCTACATATTTCAAATTACATTTAGTTTATATTATTATAAATACTTTCCACGTTACACAACTAGGTACAGGCAGTCACCGTTTTTAGAACTTATTATTTTTTATAGAGTATTAGCTACTCGCCCCGGCTTCGCCCGGGTGTACATATGTTATATATATTAACCTACCTCTAGAATCACTCTATCTATTAAAAAAACGAATCAAAACCCGTTTTGTAGTTTAAAAATTTTAGCATACATAGGGACGGACAGATTGCAACAGAGACTTTATTTTATACTATGTAATAATAATTGATAATGATCTATACTTTTTCCTAATTATTTTCACGTACCCTAAAATAGCTTTGTATCGCGGTGGTTATCCTCATCACTGTAGCGTTATATATGTTGTGATGAGGTGGCGCTACATAGTATATTATTTATTGTAGTATGTAGGTAGTGAGTATACCGGTAAAATGATTGCACGATTTATTGTACATTATTAAGTTTATTGGTAATGTACTACATGGCTTATTAATTACGCGTACAGTCGATGCGGAGTCGAGACGTAGACTGATAGTAGTGGAGACAAACTAATGGAAGGGTCTCAAGTGTCTACAGAAATATTACAAGTGTAGGCACAGCTTCAACCAGCTAATAACTGTGTTTTATTGCTGAGCAATCTCACAAGCAAGAGCAAGCACATTTAAGTTATGACCTTTATGTATTACTGTGGATCACACATAATGTGACAAACTTGTTAATTCCACGTTGAACTATGTACCTATTGTCAATATTTATAAAAGTGTAATTGTGTTACACGATTTATCTGTCTATCTATGTAGTATTTGTCATTTTAAAAAATATTAGTTCTGCATATGTGCCAAGTCTTTGTTAATAACTGCCTCACTATCACAATCATTATTGTAGTGTAGTGTAACATGAAAAAGTGTATTCTTTCTATATTTGAACTCTGGAGTAGTGATTTATCCTTACAATTTCCATCCGTACATTCCCGGCCTCTCCGATAGATCCCCCGTCCCGAGGTTCGAACCCCTAGTGGTGCACTCAGACTAAAGTCGTATCCGTTACGCGGGAGTTGGCTTTCAGCCGCTCCATAAGTCGTTCTGCGGGATTGGAGTGCCATCTGCACTCGCCCCCTGTCGTCCGGTGTGGCTGTAGAGACTAGCTGCGGCCAACAGCATTATAGTATACATAAATACATACATAATATAAAAATACATACATTCATAATCTTGTTTTTCACGATGTCAATTTGAGCACAACCAAAAATAATCATAGAAAATGTCACGCTGTCGACACCGAAGTACATGAAAGCACTCATTGAAACCGACAAAAACTGGAACAAGTAGCCAAGCTCATATTGAGGTGACTTCTCATTTGTCAGTGGCATCCTGAAGATATTGATATATATTATAAGTTTACCTCTAAATACGGTACATATGGTAAGACTCGGATTTGTAGTACAGATATATAACCACAGCTATACTTTGGAAAAAGTCGTCTGTGTGAGGAACAGTTTGCGTTGTATAAGGTTTTCTGTTTGAGGGTGCGATATGGCAGTTTTATTACAGGCAACATCTAAATCTCCACAATGAGGAGTACCATGGACGTTACATGATGATATGATGTCCATTGTGCTGTTCACATAATCAAGCGACTGTTACCATTTACCATTAGGTTGTTTGCCATTACAGTCAGATATTAATAAAAAGAAATATTTCTTGCCATATTTTCTCAACCTAAAGAAGCAGCTGGATTCTTTATCTAAATTGTACCTGTCAATATGACTAGAAATAGTATTATATCACTAAATTAAATATTTACTAAAGTAAAATTTTATTAAATGCGAAATGCTTTAATTTGTCACTGGTAATTCTTTACTAGTATGACAAAGAGTTGTTTCTACCATATTTTTAACCATAAATTAAATATTTACCACATCTCCAATGGAAAGTTCCGAGTTCCTTTATCATCGAGTAACGGTTTTAATGCCCATAGAGCACAAGTGGTCTGCGAAGTTAACATAAATGCTAACAGTAATCTTTTTATACGCGACGCGTGAAAGGTGAGAATCCTTAAAAAAATTAAATTTATAAATGTGCTACACATAAGAATAATCTGTTAAATTATAATGTAGATTGATTCAGTAAAATGCATGTCGAACTATTATAACATGGGAATCGAACAAATATTTTAAATTGTTGTAATACTTTCCTTTCCAGTTCGATACAGATCCATACTGTTCGTGGCCATATTAGCAAATGCTATTTGTAGACTAATGTTCTTACGACATGAAATTTTTACTTGAGAAAGTCTAACATCCACCTATTATTTTAAAATTTCGCATTTAAACCACCTAACTATACCAAGGAGTAGAAAACTAATATGAAAATCTGTTTTGCTTTGAATAAAATGTTTCAATTGTCTAATTCCAATTATAATTGACTCCATTAAATCATTAATATCAATCGATTTTTGCAATTCAGATGGTGACAAGTGATCTAATAGAAGTAACGATTTTTTTTAATATTAGGTGGTGAAAGCGCAGGATGCATCTTTATACTTACTTTTCATGTTCTATGGATCGCGGCCTAAAAATATCGGCGTTCATTTGTATTATCAACTGTCTAAGCATGCCCATATTCACCTGGAACACTGTAATTTTAAAACAGAGACAAGCTTGTGTGAACATCAAATAGCAGGCCTGAGAGACTGCCTCCAAATCGCCCCACACTTGAAAAATGTGTATCATCTGGAAAGTCAGAAGCAGGTATTGTATCGTCATCGTGAAAATTCTGTGTACTTTACGTGTCAATGACTCGTTTTTTGAAGGGATCCATACTCCCAGAGATTTCATTATAAATTTAGCTCTATATAGAAAAAGATTTTCAGAACTAAAAGTCATTATGTCTATAGTTTCAAAAAGAATTGTGTTAGGACTAGTTTATCCCAATGGTTGTTTTGCTATAATAATTTAAATCTGTCAATGATTATTTTGTAGTTGTATAGGTACTTAGGGTCTATTACGGCCAATAAATAGACCAATCATTACATCCAATTTGATTAAACTAACGGGGTGTATTAGACAATTTGTAGATAATGCTGGTTAATTATACATTTCATAATACAGGTTGATTAGATCTGATATGTGGATAATATTAGTTAACCAGGTGTCATTATGAAAAATCATCGAATGTTTTTAATTTGTTAAAAAATCATAACAAATTAATATGAAAATTGCTGTGCATGTACAGACAGGTGGTCTGATTATACAGTAATTATATTTCGATTCAGTTATCGAATTAGGTACTGCAGCTACCTAATAATAAATTAAATTTAATATACAATTGAATAAAAAAAGAATATTAATTATTCTTATTTCTAAATATATATATTTAGAAAGCACCCAGATCGTACAAACAATTATAGTCATGAATACAAATGTTTATGCCATAAGAGGAATCAAACCTGCGACCATCGGAAGACCACCAAGACAGTCAATAAATCACATGTATATTATTTACTCGCATATACATGGGTAACACAGGAGAGACAGGTAATGGAACTTTAAAATAAAGCAAACATTAGATAGGTTTCTCAATGGAACATCCTATAGTAGGTAATATATATTGATGACATTTTTCGCCATTATATAAACCTATGTTTACAGAATTTCCCTCCTATCTATCATTACAATAATTGTACAGCATTTAGTCAACACAATTTAATGACTAATCCATACTTCATGTACCTAATAAAATTATCTGCTTTATATACCTATCCAATATTTTTTTTAATTGTGGATGACAATGGAATGGTGCACCCGCCTGCGCTAACGGTTTACGCTGATGAGGCTAGTGGATGATGATAAGATGAACATGCAGTCAGGTCAGTTAGCCCATCGTGATAAATTCACGAATTCACCAGGAATGTATCATGCTGGATTCCAGGGGGAACCGCGTGGAGGGCACCTGATATGGTACCTTCCTCGCAATATTAATAACAGATACTACTAATAATCCCCTCCCCCCCCCCCCTGTCATATATTCTTATTTACAAGTATCTAAGCAAAATAACTTAAAACAACACATACAGAAAATAACTAGCCGAACCGTTTCACACGAGCTTCACACGAATAATTCAACTATTTTATATAATTCCAGAAAAGAATGAGGATGAAGTTATTAAGATAACACATGTCGTAATATGGGTCTTGATCCATCTAATAACGATCGGAATTTAATCACTAATGGAGGAGATCATAACGCTCATATATCATGAGGCATTATCACGATCAACTAACAACCATAACATCATGCTCATCCTATTATCCTCCACTGGTGCATGGGGCACCATAAACCGTTAGCGCAGGCAGTCACAATTATCATCTATTAAAAATAAATACAGAAACCACCTCTTCGCATGCCTTGGTACTTGGTGAAATTGTGGTACTATAGAGTATGATATACCTATATTGCTCATGGAGTGTGTCAGGAGTCTACGACATTATAATAAGACTTTGTATGGCACATATATCTAAAGTGTTTTAGTAGCCTATCCTTCAATTGTCCATCCCGCAATTTGCTCACTGGTCAGGTGACGAAATAATTAATTGTAGGGTATAATGGGACTGGCATTTTTAGCTGGTATTTTTAGTTTGTATAAAAGTCCCTAAATTTCAAAGAATTAAAGATACCTATTTATGTGTGTATCCGAAACAACCTGACGTGTCAAGATATGTCAAACGAAAAATGTCAGTGATGTGTCAAAATGATTGCCGATGTTAGTGTTCTTAATAGATAATTAACATTTTTTTAAGTTATTTCTCCTAATAATGGTGCCTTCATGATACAGTGATAATAAATCGGCTACATGGATAGTAATACCATGGAGTTCACACTACCTCCAGCCCCGCGGGGTCTATGTTTCGATCGAAACGATTTTGTCAAGGTAGTCCTTTCAATTTTCCCTATAAGAATACATTGAAATAAAATTTGTTTACTGTGGTATGTATTACAGACAAATTCTTTTCTTCCTTCCAGACAAATTTTTCTATTGATAACTTCTTAGAGGAGCATCAAAATGTGGCTTCGTTGGAGACAATGAGAGACGATCTAGGCATGTACTTGAAAGTTCTGAGATTGGCTATGATTGAACTAATTAATAAGGACTACGCCAATTTCGTAAACCTGTGTGCCACTCTCATTGGTTTTGATAAGACAATAGTTAAAATCGAAGTGCCATTGGGTCAATTAAATGAGGAGATATTGGTAAGTAACTTTCAATACAGTTTATTCATTACTGTGCTTGTTATAACTACTCACATATGATTCTACTTCGCCTATATACATATATAAATAGTTCTAAATTAAAAAAAAACATGTTACAGAGTGTGCAGAAATGTTTAGAAGATGCCATGAAAGAGTTATCAATGTGGCTAAGCCAAAGACATGGATTACAAAAGAAGAAACAACTCCTCAAATATTATGGTCAAACTATAAATTGCTTAGCTACCTTAGATAATATTCTATATAATATATCCGATAAAAAGAAAGAAGAGCAGATTGTACTAGCTGACCGTGCAGCGATGCAATACAATCTAGTGAAATATTCAATTGCTAAATGTGATTGTTTGATAAAGCCAGAACAAAAAACACAATATGATGAAGTTGGTGCAAAACTAATACAAACTCTCAATGACTTGCTGTTCCAGTTCTGGAATGACAATGATGAAGAGAATCTGCTTAAGACATTAATTACACTCGCTTCGTTAGATCGCATTTCTGAAACTGAAATGTTAATTCGAAAGCAAGCTGTCTCTCCATTACTACAGGAAATCATTAATGAGTCATCACTTCAGAGAAGTAAGGATGGCCTCCAAGAGATTTATAAAAGAATTCTGTTGTTATTAGACACAGAATTGAAATTACTTCATGCAATGACAGAACATTCCAAGTTAACATTTCTAGTGAAGCAATATAGGTTTTTAGTTAACTGTTTTTGGTGTGAAGTAGAGAGTAGGCTTGAGGTGAATTTGTCATCCATATTTGCTCCTGGCAACCCTCAAATATTTTATACAAGGTATAGTGAGAGTATGCAGTTTATAAAAAAACTAGAGAAATATTGTTCTAATATGGAGACAATTAATTTATTACATCAAACTGCAGAGTATCGAAGTTTTCAAAGGAGATGGAATTTGCCAGTTTATTTTCAAATAAGATTTCAAGAAATTGCAGGTAAGTAAATAATTATTTATTTATTTGCAGTGTGGACAGATATTACCTATATCATTCAATTTATATTCAGTAATTAAGTAACAAATATAGAGCATTATATACATGATTACTACAGTGGTGATTCTATTAATATCACAAAGTACTTAAATTAATATGTAATTATAACTTAATTAAAAATTGTCATAGACTAAATTTCACAATAAATTATTAATTTAATAATAATAAAATTAACATTAAGTACCATTTATTATTATTAATTTTTCTTATTTCATACTAGTTATATATAAAGGTTACACTATATCTGTCTGTTTATAAAATATTCACATTGTAACATTTCTTGGGCTGATCAATAGGAATATATGTAAAGCTTAAGTTAAAGATTCGTGATTTAAATGTCTCCTACTGTGTAGGTGGTAAATATAGTTTATATTTCTATAATTTAATCTAACTACCAACAACATCAACCATAATAATATATTAACAATATATATGTTGTTTATATATTAGACGTGAGTATATTTCAATGTATGTTGTAATACAACAAAAGTATATGATTATTATTCAGTTTTTTTTATATTTGTGTATGTACTTTATACAGTCAGTGTGCTCATGTTGATTATTTTTTGATAAAAACATTACTAGAAATAAATGTACATATTTCTAATATTCTGTTGTCAAGAAGATATATAGCAATACATTAGCAGTTGAGAATGTGTGAGACTAACATGTTGCAAAGAGTTACAATTGTTCACCCATAGAAATTATAGCAAACAAACTTAAATTTTATTTTGTTTCAACAATTACGTATATAATTTTTAAAAAACAATAATTTAAAAATCTAGTGCCTAAATGTAGCCCACATTTGTGTGGCAGCTAGATAGGGAGTATATTTTAATATGGAATTCCCAGAAAATTGTAATGTGTTGATAAGATAAGCCTATGTACACATTGACAGTAAATTGTACTATGCAGACCGTTAATGACGAGATACTTTGCTATCTACTATATAGCATGATCCTGCAGTTTCTTGGAAAGTTATACATATATTTTTGCAATGGACATTTCAGGAAGCTACGAAGCTGCATTACCAATGACTCCTACACTAGAGAATAATGATGGTTTCACTCTGAAGGAAACATATGTATGCTGGAAGGCAATGCAGGATTGTTGGAGTGATGGTATATATATTGATACTCTTGGGCACAAGTTCTGGAAACTTACTTTACAAATGCTCTCAAGATATGCTCGCTGGACTGACAATTATTGTTCACAGGTATTCATACATTTACATAGGATTTCATTAATAATAATCATAGCTGATTTTTATTAACATTAATATGGTAGACTCAACAGTAATCCTATTTGAACCAAGATATGACCCAATTTTGCACACCAGTGGAGAGTAAACTTTTATTGAAGTCAGAAACAATAGTCATTATGCACATTATACACAGCAGCATTATGTATATTATTTTATGTGGTTGATAAGTATAAGTTATTAAATTTAATAAATTCAATTTCAATAATTTTTTTGTGTAAAAACCTGAGTTTCTTTAAAAAATGAATGATGACCCTTCTGGTTCTTTACAAAAATCTTGGGTTTTGTACAGTTACCCTTCTATTTTGATACAGTCATCTCAATTTCCACAAATATTAATATTTTTTTGTTGTATCATGTCTTTTACATTATTTGAATGAATAAATATTACTTATGTGCAGTCAGTGGAGGATGAAATCAGATTAGTTAGCATTTCATAGTGAATTAGGAATTCACTATTGTCTCCTTGGGCACCAACTATGGCACTATGGGATACAACTTGGCATGTTATATTAAAAATGAGGCATGTCTCCATTACTGCCAACCCCGAAAATCTCTCTTCTTAGGTCATATATTTCTGATTGTGATGCTGCCTTATGGATTAATACAGAAACTTTCGCATTAATATTTACGGGTCAGGGTAGGGGGCGCCACCATGTTATGTCGAAAACAAGGCTCGTTAGTAAACTTAGATATTGTGATATTTTGTGATTTTGCAATACATAAATAAATATTTTTATGTAATAAATGCTGTATTGTAGTATTAAAATAAATAAAAAAAATATTATAATGTTGTGTGAGACAAAGAGCTATTTTTGTCTTGGGGATAAAAATAAACATTGTAGGTGAATATCATGATTCATTTTCTAAACCCTCTGACGTTTATTGAATTCAAATGGTTATGTGAAATGAATCATGATATGAGTCAGGTAATGTATACATACATAATGAACAATAAAGATATTATATAACTGTAATATCTATAACGTTCGTTAGCAGGGTGATAACTAATAATATTGTTTCTTTCAGAAAATATCATCACAAAAAAACGAGCCAACAGCTGTAAATAAACATTTGATTGACAACAGTATTAGTATATATGTCGACACACAAACATTATTGCAAAGGCTACCTTTATTTTTACAATTTGTTGAAAACAAAATGCCTAGTAAATGTAGCGGACTTCTTAAATCAAGCTTAAGTTCATCTGAAAATATGTTGAGAGGTACAAATGAGAAAGTAAGACATTGTATAGTGAATGAATTGGTTGAGTTTTTCAATGTACAGTTAAAACAAGTCAGCGATATACCAAGATTATACAGGAAGACCAACCGCAGTGTGCCTACAAAGCCCTGCCTTTATTTAGAAGTAGTGTCCAAATCGATACATGAATTCAATGATGATGCATCAAAACGGTTGGATAATGCCTTTTTAGTTGAACTGTATGAAGCATTATTTAATGTTATGACAGCTTCGTAAGTATAAGTTCTTTTAGCAGCTTTTTAAATAACATTGCATTGATACAATTTGATAATCATTTAAATATTTTTAGATATTATAAATATGTAGAAGATGTGTTAACGTCAGTGCAAAAAACTGAAGAATCACTTAGAAGACTGAAGCAAATACGGGAGAAAACAACACAACAGAGTACTGAGAGCGCCAGTATAACTGACGGCGACAAAATACGGCTGCAATTGAATGTGGATGTTGTATCATATGGCAAGGTAGCGGAGGCACTGCAGGTCAATGTAAATAGTGTGCAAAAGTTTACAGAATTATATTCCATGGTCACAGATGCTGTAAAAAATATAGATATTAAATGATATGCCCACTTGTATAATAGCATTTGATTTTTTTATGAGAATAGGTGAAATATAAACCATTTTAACATAAACATGTATTTGATCAGCTGAATAAAAATTGTATGATTTGAAAAAATAGAAACCATTCACTTATCACTTAAAATAATTAACAAGATAAAATCTTACTAATACTATTTGTGTGGAACAAAATATTTTAAGAGTGTGTTCGGTTTCGCTTTGTTCGTGGTTCTTGGACTACTTCTTGTCATGCCTGAACCAGTAGGGTTCTTCCACATTACTTTCAGTTCCTGTTGCATCTCATCAGGGAGGGCATTGAATACTTCCTTATCCACATAACTAGGACAATCATCACAGTTGCCACCTTCAGCAATGTCCTTCATGGTGTCTGATGCATCAGAGAGATTATCTTTAGCAGGACTGGCCCGAGGCGTCAGTGACCTGTCTCTTGAATTCAGCCTGAGTTCTGAGACCTTTTCTAACTCTTTTGAGTTTAACCGTAATTCACCAACTTTCAATTTACTTGGAGATGCAACTTCCTCTTTTGAAAGACATCGTCTCTTAGCTATCCATGTAACCTTCTTAGGCTTTTTAGGTGAAGGTTCTACTTCAGCATCAGACAAATCTGTAGTGGTGCTACTACTAGGTGATGCAGCTGAGTAATCCATTGAAGAGGCAGATGTATCACAGTCATTTTGCAAATTCAATACGGACTGCACAGAAATGTCATTCATCAAATAGTTTACAATTGAACTCCTACCAGTCATGCGCTCCTGAAACTTGGTAAATGCCAGCCCTACCAATGTCAAATGGAATGGTTTTGATAAGTCAATAAGCTTGTTGAATAATCTCATTATAATTGTCATTAGTTTTTGTTGTCCTACTTCAGTTACAGACAGGGCTCCATTTGTAATTGTAAAAATTGATGCTGAGATCTGGCATTGTCTTGACTCCCGGTGACTGCTCAGTCTTTTTGCATCTTTCTTTCGTAATGTGACTCTTAATGAAACTGGAATGCGTCCATCTTCTCTTACCAAAATGAGTAACCTTTGCAGTAATGCACTGAATTTGTCTTCCACTTCACTCTTTACACTCACAGTCTTAAAGCTGTCCTCTAGTCCTATACTTTGAGGCTTGCCGGTTTGTTTCACGGGAGTATTGTCTTCCCCTAAACTTAAGTTTCTCAATCTGACTGCCATGTCACCACTGAAATGTCTCTTCAATATATCTAAAGGTGCTTGCTGTAAATCAATCACCGAGATAATTTTTTGAGATATTAGAGCTTCAGTTGTTTTGGAACCAATACTTGGAATGGATCTGATGCTGTGCAGAGTAGACATGAACTCGGCAGCATGTTCTGGTGATATGGTTGTCTGATCATTGGGCTTGTGCAATGGGCAGACCAGTTTTGCCAGTAACTTATTGTGTGCAATACCGGCACATGTTGTGAATCCTAACTCATCATATATTTTCTGTCGAATTTCATTTGCTACTTGTGATGCTATCTTCAGTCTAATGTGACATCCACACACACATTCTGTGCCATATTCGTTGTAAATGTGACCACTATATGTGACATTATTAATGTTAACACATTTTAATTTCTCCTCTACCAATTTTGTGACATCAATAAAATTTTCATCCATACCTAACTTTTCAACAGGACATTTCCATGATTGTAACAATTCAAAAATTTTATTGGACGCCGCTCTGTAGTCGTGCAAGTCCTCGCCGTTCACTAGCTTAAGGTTGGGACATGATTTCAAAGCGTCTGAAACCAGCATACACTTTTGCACACCGTAATTCCGAGCTTCATAGTTACTGGTCACTACAATGTTTTTCTGCTGTATTCCGAGTGGCACTGCACGTAGTTCAGGGTTGCGCAGCATCTCCACTTGAGCGTAAAAACAATCTATGTCGATATGTACAATGCTCCTTGGGTGTTCGTTTTCAGCATAGTTACAAGTGGAACTACTTGATTCCATGTTCCTGCGGAATTTACAGAGTTTATTCATAATTTGCATTGTTAAAACTTAACTTTACCTGTTGCAATTTATAGTGTAGTATTATGCGACAATAACTAACCTAATGTGCATGAACCTATCATTGAGAGTTTAAATATATTTTGTAGCATTTAAATATGTTTAATAACTTATAATTTGGCGTTTTTATTTCATAAATGGGAATATATTGATAATTTAGAATTGGACAATCACGACACATCAACAGAGTGGATGTTGCCACTACAAAATACGGCCTAATCCATAGAATATACTTAATCTGAGTTGCCAACCTTGAAATATTTGCCTTATATTTTATCCCGTCAACTCGTATTTCGCCATAAATATAACCACACTACATACCTAACTTGTTACTCTGCCTATTCTTACTAAACAAGTTTTAGCAAACTTAAAGTTGGTTTTAAGCGTACACTACATTAACTAAGAATAATTCATATTGTTCACGTTGATTTATGTTTTGACCTCAAAACAAATAGTGACTACATTAATCTGGTTCTGAATTAAAACCTACTGCAACAGATTTTAACTAAACAGTGAACTAAAACAACAAGATTATGTTTTCAGAACTCTTGTTCACAGATTATATATGCATGTCTATTGACATTCGAAACGTCATTCGCTCATAATGTATGACGTTCAGCTACAGATTATAAACGTAAAATGTCTACGTTACTCTGTGAAATTTGCCGAGCAAAGTGGGTGTTCATTTCCAACAAATAAACATTTCCATCCTAATTAACTGTTTTTCATTGTAACTATACGGTAATGTACTCATGAATGTTAATAATGGAGGGGCTGCCAACAGGTGATATTCAGGCAAAGTATCAGAAACTAGCATCCGAGTATTCCAAGGTGGGATTTACAATCAATTTATTGTGTTGAAACACGTATCGCAATTTGTGTAAATGCAAATGTATTGTTTCCGTTACAGCTGAGGGTGCACGTGAAGGTATTAAAGAAGGGAGTACTTGATGAACAAGCCAAGTCCAATGAGATTAAGGACACTTTGAAGGAAAAAGAGAAGTCTTTGAGAAGATGTGAGCTTGAAATAGATTCATTGACGTTCAGAAACCAGCAACTCACGCGACGTGTGTCTGTCCTCCAGGACGAACTCGACGCCTTGCAGGTCAGTACCAACTAATATACTGTCCAGATCAGATACGATTAAAATACTAGTACTCAAATGTAATTAATTTTCTGTACATTTTCTTTGATTAGTCATATGTATAAATAGTATGCATAACATGATAACTAATCTGAAATTTAAAATTTGTAATCCTGCACTTCTTTGTTCTGTTTATTTTTGAAAATAGAAATTACTTATTCAAAATGGAAAGGACCCCTCCACCACTAATGTTTTAGTTAGAGGATTTGATATTGTAATATAAATATATATAAAACAATATTTATTTTAAAGATCAACACACAAGTTTCTTGCTCATTCTTCTTGTGATATATCCGCATTCAAAATGAGCAGTGGAATAAAAAAAATTGACTATCCAAAAGTTCTTATATTAAGTTTATTTGAATAAAGAATATTTCTATTTCTGATATACTAATTACCAAATAAAAAACACATAATATTGGTGTGCAAGGTTCTCACATATGTATACTTAGTATATAAAACAAAAGTTAGATGCTTTTGTTTGAATATTTCTTTTGTTATAATAACACTAATAAAACTTGAATTAATATTTTTTACATAAAATAAATGTGAAACTATGTAAATGGTTTATTGAATTCATTTTCTTTACACTTAAGAAAATGTTTAGTTTGTTTTCAGAATAAAGCAAAATTTCAAAAAAACAGCTCAGGCTAATTTTGGATTGATTGTTTGTTTGAATGTAATCATGCTATAAGCAAAGTATTCCAATACTAGTTAAATCTATGTAGTTAGTTCATATATTGTATTTTTACTACTAAGAACTTTATTATTTATTTTTGTATAGGGGCCGTTCAAGTATTATGTAAGTAGATTTATTACCATTATTTAACCCGTCTGCAAAACTAAGAAAAGCTCTTACCCCCTCCCCCATGTTTACGTAAACATTTTTCAATCAATATATTGTTTTTTAGCAAAGACAATGCGAGGTTGTCATATGCGTAAAAAATTAAATAACTGCTGATGATGTAATAATTTAGACTCCCGCAACCCCCACATCATCCAAAATAAGGAAAGCAAAGACCCCACCTGCCCCCTATAGTGTTTACATAATTCTTGAACTGCGCCATACCACATGATTTTGTGTATAATAAATAAAGTGACTGACAGCAACAATTAGTCTTAAAATTAATGGTATTGTTTATTTACAATGTTACAGTTGAAACTAACAAAGAAATCAAAAACTAAAGGAGATGAAAAACAAGCATCAGCACCAAGTAATTCTGGACCATTTGATGCTGGCCTACTTCAAGAAGAACTCCAGAAAAAGATAATTGAGAATGCCCAATATGCATCGCAGGTTTGTGTATAACATGGAAACTGTAGGGATTCCCAACATTTTTCAACTATATTAGTACTATTAAGAAAGAGCTTCTGCTCTTTCTTTGTTACATACAAAGGAGTCGTATTTATTTACTTAATTACTTCTTCTTTTTAGTTTAATTAGAATGGCTTCCACCAAATGAGGTCTTTGATTTTACCCATGTCTTATACAGACAGAGTTAGACAGACACAGTGGTGTGGTGTTTTTTTACTGTGTTTGTAAAAGTTGAGATTGTTTCATTTGGCTGAGAATGCTAAATAAAAATATAAGGACAATAATACTTAAAACTACTTAGTTTTTTTTAAATAATATAAAAAATTGTGTGGTATATTTACATGTTAGATCTTATCATACTTAAATGGGGCCACTTTTAGTTAAATTTGTTACACAGATATGGTTTAATCTTAGATTAACATATAGGACCATGTTATCATAATTAAAATAGTTTAAACCATGGAATTGAGTTAATGAATTATTGAGTTAATGATTATCAATTTCAGCTATCTGACAAAACATTTGAAGTGTCCCAACTGAAGGCCTCTCTAGAAGATTACCAGAAGCGCATAAATGAAAGTGATAGCAAATATAAATGTGAAATTGCTAAGCTGAAAAATAAGAATCAGGAATTACAGTTCACCCTCGAGGAGGCACAAAAGGACAGACTCGGGGGGACGCCTTGTAAAGTTAATTTGCCTGGAAACAGTCAGACAACTAGTTGTAATGGTGATTTCCTGTCAGAAGGGGGAAGCCTGGTATGTTATATGTTTATTTATAAATTTACTTAACTGTGATGATTTAAGAAAAGGATGTTGGATTAAGTTTATTGTTGTACTAATGATGACCTCGGTGGACTAGCGGTCTAGCACACCGCTTTACGTCCGATGGTGGCGGGTTCTACGGCACAAACATTTGTATTCATGAGTATGATTGTTTGTATCGGTCTGGGTGTTTGCTATGTATATTATGTATGTATTTACGAAAAAAAGTTATCTATGTACTTGTATCAGTTGTCTAGTACCCATAACACAAGCTTTAGCCAGCTTAACTTGGGTCTAGATGGCGTTGTGTAAATTGTCCTGAGGTTATTAATATTATTATTAATACTGTAATAATTAAATTTAAGCATAAAATAAAGTCACTCCTGCTGTCTGTTTTCTTAGATCGTTTAAACTTCGAAACCGATTTTAAAGCAGTTTTAAGTAATAAGTAGTGATTCAAGAGGATGATTTGTAGGTGTAGTATAATATATGTACACCCGTCCGATGCCAGGGCGGGTGGCCAGTTGCAGGTGCAAAATAGGTTACTAAATATTTTTGAAATCAGTTATTTAGGTATATATGATATGGAATACTTTACGGCGATAAAGAATTAATTATGATTGTTTCTACAAGGAAGTATGTGGAAGTCGACTTGGCATAGTACATTGCTGTACCGTGCGATGAATCGAACACGTGGCCACGAAAAAGTAAGGCGGTGTGCTAACCCGCTAGACCACCGAGGCCGTCACATTTATTCCCTTGTAGCATTTATATATGTTGTATATTATTTAATTTCAGATTGGAAGTGAGGATGCACTGAGTTCTGTAGACGACCTGAACATTAATGAACAGCTTAGTATAAAAACACACACATTAGAACAGGTATGGTATTATATGTATTATAGGAATAATCATTGTAAGTATAGGCATTCTTGGCACTTTGGACGTAATCGAAATTTAGCTTAATGTACATCAGCACAAGAATAATAATATCTCAGAATAATTCACGCAGCGCTATCTAGTCCCAGATTGTGTACTATGGATACTAGACAACTGATATATAATAGAGGCTAAATTCAAATTTGAGCTTACTTCATAAAATGTAATTAATCTTATATATATAACTAGCAGACACGACCACGCGTTTATATGGCTAAGGTTCTTGAATAAAATATTATTGCGACTATAAATTGAGATGTAAGCTATCATATCTTTCAATTTGGATCAAATTGCACACAATGTGCAAATCAAATTTGCAATCGGTTCAGTAGTTTAGGAGTGCATTGCGGACAACCAACGTGACATGTAATTTTTATATATAAAGATGAAAAGAACAGAACAGTTTTACTAACAGATTAGTCTGAAGAAGTTCTTTCTATTTCCCCTGGAATTGTTAATTAAGGTATATATCTCAAAATTTTTAAAAATTGCGTGCAAAGTTTGTTACCAATAATTGAGTGGTGTACCTGCCCACTAATGGCCTGAATATGCCATGTAGAGAATTAATGGATGATAAGATGAGCATGCGGTTATTTTATTCTTACTAATATTATAAACGCGAAAGTTTGTGAGTATGGATGGATACATGCTTGTTAGTCATTCACGCAGAAACTGCTGAACGAATTTTGATGAAATTTTACAGTAATATAGCTTATACATCAAAATAACACAGGCTGTAAATTTCACTCTGGTGAAACGGCTGGGAGCAGCTCGTTATTTATATAAGAACTAGTGGATCCGACAATTGTTATCCTACCTAGAATAGAATCCAGAAACCTATTGAAATAAATCTACACTATACGTAGTTAGCCCATAAAAAATATAATAAATTCCCATAAAATAGGGTATACCATTGCCAGTATGGGATTCAAGACAGTTATATATTTGGAGTATAAAAATCCCCAGAGAACTTCAAAATAAATCAGACTCATAATTTTACTATATTTAAACGAGTTTTAACACTAACAATTTTATGGTATATAAAGGTCTCTCTCAACGCTTCGACGTATGTTGCACTAAAAGTGGTCACGAGTTGACTGGAGTAACAGCGAATTTAATGTTGTAAGGTGCTGGCAGTTTGTTCAACTACAGTTGTTAGATTGTCCGGAAAAAAATCACTACTATTTAAAACCCGTTTAACAATATTAATAACGTGTGATAAACGCGAAAGTTTAAAACTAAATATCATGATTCTTCTTTCAGGAAAACCAAAAACTTAGAATGGAGTATGAACTTCTCCAAATGGAGAATGAAAGCCTGAAACTTGAAGTAGCAAAGCACGAATCAGCGTCACAGAAACGGAGAGGGGATGGACATGACTCTGGGGACTTTAATAGTTTCAATATGACCTCCGTGGATTCTGAGGGTAGAGTTACAGGTTTATTAGGAAGTTTAGAATCACCGTTCCTGTTAAATCAAGAGGTGCAGTTGAGGGAAGACAGAATGAAGATATACTTTAGGAATAAGCTTAGTGAACTTAGTGCAGAGAAGGATGAGCTGAAAAGCAAGACTGAACATTATGTAAAAGAGGTAAGAGACCATCCAAACATTAGATCAGTAATTTAGGCTTTTTACTTTTAAATAGTCATTTATATTAATGTACCACTCAATTGAACTGAAGGCTTGACACGGAAGAAGCAAGAAACTTGTCTATTGCTCTATTGTTTAAAAGAATTAATTAATCTTACTAATATAATAAACGCGGAAGTTTGTGAGTATGTATGGATGTTTATTAGTGTATGGCGCAAAAACTACTGAATGGGTTTTAATAAAACTACAATTATATAGCTTTTATATCTGAATAACACATAGGTTATAAATTTCACGCGGCTGAAATCGCGGGCACAGCCAGTTATATATATAAGAAGTTGCGGATCCAACAAATGTCATCCTAGAAAAACAGCCCCACTTACCGTGTTCCATTGTGTTTACAAATCATCCAGAAACCTATTGAAATAAATATGCATACAAAATTTCATCTAAATCGGTCCTGTTGTTTAGGAGTTGTTAGGTGAAATACACACAGAAAAATGTTACTGATGTTATAAACGCGAAAGTTTGTGAATATTAGGATTGATGGATGGATGTTTATTACTCTATCCCACAAAAACTACTGAAGCTATTTTGATGAAACATTACATTAATATAGCTTATACATCAGAATAATACATAGACTGTAATTTGAATAGATATTATGCAAATTCTGCGAAATATAATCATAAATGTCAAGTAAGGTAAAAAAAGGGAAAGGAATATAATTTTAATCGCGTATGTAGATCTAATGACCAAATTATCCCATAACATTTTCTAGTTTGCTGGAAGCGCGGGTCTGTGTGTGCTAGTTTTATACATGTAGATAAAAATGTATTTTTATTCCAGTGTGAATTATTGCGGCTAAGGTTTGAGGAGATGGAACGTGATAAACAAACAGATGAACATACATTACAGGAAAAACACAATACAATCAGTAGACTGGTGAGTCACAGTATCTATTACTGTTCTACGATAAATAAACGTTTATCGGCTCTGTGTTATGTTTGAAAACGTGAATTATTTCTTTATGTAATTGGCACATCCAATTATATAAAAAATAATTCACGTTTAAATAAACTGACGGCCCACCTGACGGTAAATGGTAACCATCGCCTATATATATATATATATATATATATATATATATATATAGTGATGCGATTTATATATATGTATATAAATCGCACCACGGACATTACTTTATCATGTGACGCCTATGGTACCACTCATATATTGACATTTATTTATTCTTGACAAATTACATTGTGTTGATTTTCATTATAATTGCATAAATTACAATTTACTAATTAAATGTCAATCATTCTTATCATTCCGGAGGTCTAAGATGCCATGCCTCTTATCCATCGTCCAGTGATGCTGTAAAGGTCACCTGCAGCCAACGTTACCTCTCTCATCCTATAATCGAAACACAGCTTACAAAACAAGCCACTTGGCGGCTGAAATAGGAGAGACTAAAATACCCACATAGACCATATTTTATAAACCCTATCTTGGTAGAATATAATTGTATTTAATCCAAATTTGCTATATCCATTTATCAGAATATCTAAGTTTCAATCCCAAAGTTAATAATATAAATTATTTCCAAGTATGGCGATATTGCTGCCCTCAAGTGGAGCGATATTGCTGGGACGGTGGTGGATTATTTTTGTCGTGTGCTATTGGTCCCCGACTTATACCTTCCGACCGACCGTTGTAAGGTCGAATTTGACCTACACTAAACAAGTCTTTATATTTTTGGCTGACTTTCTGATGCCACCAATAACGAATCTACCTAAGATAATAAATCCGAAAGATGACGGTAGTCGTCCATGTGTGAGATTCAAATATACTCAGGAAATGTTGCGATTTTGCGTTCAACACGTCGTAGAATGTTGACAGTAACCTTTTAATAACTTGTTAAGGTATATTATTATTATTATTTCCGTAATATATTAGGAAGAAGAACTGCATTCCACATCTCACAACTATGAGGAACAGATGTCAGTTTTGACGGAACACGTGGCTGGTCTCAACGAACAGCTCACGCGGCAACACGACGAGATCCAACTGCTCAAACATCAGCTCAGCACCAGGAAGAAGTAGCCCAGACTGAACCTGTACAGGTTTAATGGAATTGTAACTAGTAACTTCACGTTACCTCAGTGGAGACTCGGTTAACCGGATTGATAAATTGTCAGACATTCAGCTAATATTTTTTAACGTGGTAGGCGCGTATAGTCGGTATAGTACGCTAATAAAGGTGGGTTCCCATTATAACCATCTTCATAAGATCAAATTAGCTTGTTTATTCTTTTGTAGAAATATGACATATTAAAGGTATGTAAAAGATTTATCGTAAAAGGCATACCATCAAGGCAGTGATAGTATTCATGAAATATTCATGTAAATATGTTTGCAGGGTGTACATACATTTAGGATGATCCTACGGTACACGATAATCATTGTTGAATTGTTTTTTTTGTGTCATGACACGTGGGCATAGACAAAATTTTGTACTATTTGCTTTTTATTTAGAGCTGGCATTCACTATGATTATATAACTATTATTGTAATATATATACAGTACCAGTAGCTATCTACTGGTATAAACTTTTGATGTTGTATAAATCGTGTAGACATATTGAACTGTACTATTACTTGTGTATAATAAAATAAAAACACACGAGTGTCCTTATTTTCTATGATATAAAAGTTATTATCTCAAAATCATGTCCAATATTAAGAGCAATCAATAATTAATGGAATATGTATAAATGTAAAAAAATAATTATCACTTGTTATTCACTTAGTGTAAGACCAAATTGATTTAGTAATAAATTTTAGAAATTTTTGCAAGTAACGCAAGTTTCCAAGGCAAATGTTTTAGGCTTTTAAAGCGTTTTCAATGTATATATATACTCAAATATGAAGAAATAAAACGCATTTATTTATTACTAGTTATGCACGCGGTTTTTTGCGTATGTATAAAGTTAAATATAGCCTCTATAACTCAGCGAGTAGTGTAGCGTTCCATTAGTGAATTTTAAAACAGTTGTAATTTCAGAAATTATTTTCAAGAACAAAATAAGTCAAATTTGCTTGTATGCACAAGCAAATTTTACGTGTTTCTTACTACTAGATGTTTAAATACAGGTTTATATGCTTAAAATTTTCAAAACTCCTTTCAATAGTTTCTCTATTTTGGTTAATTAACAACCTATTGTGTACATTATAATTTTATAATTTAAGTGGTTTCAACTTCTCCGAATGTATAGAATTCTTGACGGTGTCTATTGCCAGTTGTAGTGTATACATTAAAAATCGTTAAAATTACTTATAACTTAAAATCATACGAAAGAAAGTTCAACAAGACCTTAGAATATCGCTAGAATCAAATTACGAGATTGTTCTATAAACATAAATATTGTAAATTATGTATTTCGAAAAGATGTTTAAAGAATGAAATTTTAGAAGAGTTATTTACAAGTTTCGTGTAACCTTATAATAATAAAAATATTTTTTTGTATACAACTTCTAAATTAAACTCCCATACTTATTGGGTTCTATACAATATAGTATAGGTACAATATTACATTATTATTATATATGTTCCGTAATTAAGTATATTATTATTATTTATAAAAACTATAACATTATTTAAAAAAATTACCTATTCTTTTGCTTTTGACCTAGTTTATATTTAATTGTACACGGTCAAAATTGTATGTATATATGTAATTTTATGTGTCCTTTTCTTTCTATTTATTTTCTTAATTTGAAAGAAAGTTTAATATTTAAAATAGGTTTAAATAGTTTGATTTTTATGAATGAAACGACTATTATTTTGGTCACAATTGGCTGTGTTATGTCATACTGCTCAGTAGCAATGGATCTCGACATCCAAGTTGTCAAATTCTATAACTTTTAACCGACTTATTTAGAAAGAGTGTATTCTCAATACGACTGTATTTATTTACTTTTAATACCATTGTCAAATCTGAACTGTTTTAAAGGATTCCTTTTGCAATGTGGGATTCACATTCGGTCCTATATTCGTTATTTAGATATATATTTTTTTGTATCTACTGAAGTCGTTTTTACTGTATAACAAAATCTTAAAGTATGCATTTCTGCATATTGCTTATAAATAAAGTTGAATTAAAAGTATGTAAATATATAATTGAGAATGTTCAAGGGTTACTTTTATAACTTTTTTGTATAAAATTTAGAGATTGTTATGTATTAAACAACTGAACAGAGAGAACGTACATCTTTTATGTGACATAAATAAATACATTATAAGAGTTATAAATATAGTAGTTTTATTGTAGCTAAAAGTAGATTTAGAATATAGGTCTCAGCGTAAAATAAATACATATACAAGGACAATTAACACAGCGCATGGTAAGAGATTGTGTTATGAATACTAGACAACTGTTATAAATACTTAGATTTATTTTATAAATACATACATAATATACATAGAAAATATCCAGACAGATACAATCATACTCATGAATACAAATGTTTACATCGCGCAAGGAATCAACCGGTGTGATAAACCGCTAGACCACCGAGACCGTCAAGAGAAAATAGACTAATACATAAAGCGATACATTATATATACATACACTAAATACAAAAGATTCAATGTTCTTGAATATACTTGACTTCTATAGATCAAACTCGAATGTTTAAAGAACTAAATAAAAAAAAGGGCAATTTTACCACGATATCAAGCAGGAGGTGACACCTTCATAAATAAAAACCACTTTATATGCACAACTTTGTATTATAACGATAATCATAAGCACCTTACAATATGTCATCTGTTACAATATTTTGTTTTCAACAGTTACATTACCGTTATAAATATTTATACAAAATTTATCAATTTATTGAACAGCGTCGCAAATAATTCGCTAACATGAGGTCAGTACCGTCAGTATGTACACGTCTCGCCCTCGTGTATGTGTTGTGTAACATCAGTAAACGTTCATGATTTCTATAAAATTACACAAGTTCGCTTGCCAGAAGCGTATCGCAATATTTTACAAGTATAAAGTTACGAATTGTGTTTAAAATTGGTGTTAATTTTTATACAGAATTATATTAACAGTCTGCCATCATTGATTTTTAAATGATCATTGCTTTTTAATGTGAAACATCCAAAGTGGCGAGTCAAATAGTCTATTTTCGTATGTGCTATATGTAAAGGGCTATCCACAAATTGATGAAATGTACTATGAACTTTATGATTTTTGCTTTCTCCGTCATCGTCCTTGTCATATGGTCACTTTATTTTACAATTACATGCAGATATATTACAATTTTACCTCAAACTGCCGTCGTGACATTAATTGTTTTTCAATTTAAAACATTAACAATGACCTCATTAGAGCTATGACACCTCCCACCCTCCTCGAAATTTATATACGAAATTGACGATGCGCCTCCCCCTCTCCCTACTTTATGCACTAAATAAATTGGATGTTTCACATATCTGCATAGGCGTCCCGGAATGGCTTATTTATTTAGTTACAATTATTAGTATTACCAGACATCATTGATTTATGTACGAAATACATATTTCAATATACTTACCTCGTATTTAATTACATTAAGTATAAAGAAAATTAATTTTGTAAAATCTTAAACATTATTGTAGTATTTATTTTCAATATTAGTGATATTTTAGTTTAAAACGCTTATCTTTAAATGTAGTTTATTTCATTTTAATAGATATATCAATGACGTCTCGTAACAAATGGCAGTTTCAATATAAAACCTAGCCGTAGGCAGTATAAAAGACTGTTTTTATGTCAAAACATTTTACGTTAAATTAATGTAACCTTAAGGTAATGCAGTAATTTGTTTGTAGTGGGATAACCCCTTTAACAAATCATGCCAGACTTCATTGTTATTAGCAAAAAAGACAGCATATATGGTTATTACAATAAAGAGCATTGTAGACTAAAAAAGTTAAACGTAACAAAAAACAATATACAAAGTACACTAACAGAGTAATATGCATAGCCCTTTGGACAACTTTCAAACAAATACATTCCTAAAAGGGTTCGTTTATGCTACTGTTGATATGAGCGAAACGGCGTGATAGGCTTCTCATTCTTACACATGCGTTCGGCGGCTTTAGAAATGGATTTGTTATCTACTTTTGTAAAAGGCCACAGAGTATGAAATATCCATTTTAGTGATTCGTAATAGCATGCTAAACTACAAAAAGACTTTACAAGTGCTCTAACATGTATTGTGAGTACTAGGATTCTGTAAAGAGAAAGAAAACTACTTATACAAGAAAAATTAACCGACCAACCAATTGACTGTTTTTTTTATGTAACTGGAATGGCAAAAAAGCTGAAGGTCCATCTGATGGAAAGATATCCTTTACATGAGCAGCACCACGGAGATTACATTCCCTGGTACTCTGGTCCCTCATGCGTTGCCATTCCACATTGCTATGTTGACGGACGAAGATACATATTCTGGCATATTTCAATCACGCATCAACAAAATCCATTTGGCACACCATAAACAAAATTAAAAATAAATATCTATTAGAAGTTTCGTCCAATAACACACTTCAGGTGACACGGGTATTAAAATTTTGCCTTGGTGTGTTGTCATAATAATTAGTAAATTATATTTAAATGAAGGACAAGAAACGATTACTACTTAACACATTAACAGTAATTGGGTTATAAACAGATTTCATTTTTTAATCCTCAAAATGTTAATAACAATAATTGAAGAGTTAACAAGTTTGCTGTTAAACGAAACTTCTAATTAAAAAAGCAACGTGTACAGTGCCCGTAACTAATTATTTCATTATATAATATATCTTAGGCAGAAAGGATAATAGAAATATTTTAAATAACGTTAAACCTATAGATCTTCACAGTCGAGAGCTGACTCGGTGCGAATGTACAAAAACATTATTGCTATCCTTTTCTATAAAACGATCTACCCACGATCCTAAAATCAATAGATTTTTCAATGATAAAGGAATGGTGCACCCGCCTGCGCTAATGGTTTACAGGGGCGGAGCACCAGTGGAGGTAATGGAGGAGGAGTAATATTGGAGCAATGGTGGGTTGAGCCCTGGATCGCCTCGTGTGTAGACAAACCATTAGGGCCAATTTTTGTCAAGAAAGCGTGGCAGTAGTGTTGTGAAATTGGCGGCCCGCCGACCGTATTTATTTACCACTGTTCCAAAATTGCCTCAGTTTTCAGGGTCGTGTGTAAACTGCATAAAGATTTATAAGCTCTGTTTTGCAGGGCATGAGTCAACCTCGAACCACTCAGTTCTCCCCTAAAATAACTTAGATATCTACCTTTTGACATAGTGATTTCATTTGTCACAATTATTATATTTGTAAATAAGAATACAGTCAAGATAATATAAATAAAAACAATAGACTCTAGTATGACCGAACGAACAAGTTTTAGAAATTAAAGTCTTAATTAAGCCTTTTAGGTGCTGTGTGATGTAGAGCAGTGACACCTTCGAATTTTAAATATGACATTTGTATATACTATCTCTTCTAACTCAATAGTAGCTCCATTAATCAAAATGTGACAAACTTGTTTTAGTTGCCAGGATTTGCTAGCTATTGTCTTTGATGTTTTGTTGTCACTGCGCAGGTCACATGGAATACAAATCTTGTTCAAGTCATTTACGGGCACTACATTGGTAAAATCAAATTGTAGAGTTATCAATAATTAAAACATCTCTTTCTTTCAAATAATGTCATAAAAAAGAGGAAGATTACGTATTCCATGCCATTAATGAATTTATCTATCCAAAATTAAATAGAAACTATATGACAAAATGTAATTAATAAATTAGTCAATTTCTTTTAATCAAACAGTTTGAACTCCTTCTTATGAATAAAAATGCAATGTCAAATTAGGAAAATGATGTTTAATTAAATTTAAAACTATCAGTTCCACTCCTACTCTGTTAATTTACAACAAATAAATAAACATATCTAAAAACACGGCTCAGGTGGTTATTACATTATCATATGACGGATTAATTATAAATTGTATAAAATAAAAATAATGGAAAATCTACTGTTATTAAGAGTGCGATCTACTGTTATTTCTTAGCTATTTCAATTTGTCTATTTATGAAGATCTTGGTGTATTTATGTTTTCAGCAACTTAAACAATTTAAAAATAATTTATTGAGATCACTTTTCGCTACCATTCTGTATTTTGTGAATGAGAAAATACTATTACATTATTTCCTTATTCATATAGAACGATAACAAAAAGTGGTCAAACAATATTATGACAAAGAAATCGTAGTCTTACATCAAACGTGTACATACCCACATAGATTTCATATTTGGTATTTATAAACAATAAATTATAGACCTAAAATCCAACATATGGCTCTTGTATAAAACATAATTAATAACTATATAAATAATTAATAAAATGATATACACTTGATAAAAAATTTCTCAGGTGGTTGCAGTGGAATGATGTTTCTCTATTAAAACTGCCGTGCTTAAGAAAAAAAACGTTATTATGAAGTAATAACGCACCGTCATCTACAGGCGCCTAAGTCAAACAGACCCTGTATAATTACTAATAAATGCCCAATGATTATAAGTATATATTTTTATAAACACATATATAGAAAACACTCAAACATTTAGAAATACTAGTATTCCTATTAAGCATGAGCTTGAACAGTACAGATATGTATAGAAAAATTAATTTTAGTTTATTTTCCGAATTTTCATTTTTTCCGTATTTTTAAATCACCCTGTATAACGAACAATACAAAAAAACTACCTTTTTGTAGTTCTAGCGAAACTAGAAACTATTATTTTTTTATCTTTACCTAAAAAATATAAAACTTTTCTTAAGCACGACAATGTGACTTACAAAAAAATATATTAAGTAGATTACAATTCAAAAAGCAACTCGACCTGTATGTAGGCTGACAGATACGATCAGCATTATAGAAATATTACATTTCAGTCCTACACATGCTCTATTCTCATTTCTATACACAACTGGGTAGGCAATCTATACATATAAATAAAATTGGAGTGTCTGTTTGTAATATTTGACTCTAGAAACTCGGTGGTCTTGAAGGCGGTTCGATTCCTTGCACGATGCAAACATTTGCTGTGTTTGTCTAGGGTTATCTTTATTATTATAGGACATTTTTAGTAATTATATACAATGTAGTAATGTGGGTAGAAGTGTGAATGTATTTTTTTTATTTTCAGGCAATACTTTTGGTTAAAATAAGCTGGCAAGAATCTAAACTTATTTTCTTTTTAAACAACGTCAATCGGATACACTTTAAATAAAATAATAATCCAGTACATTCAGTACCGAACTAAGAGCTTCTACTATGGATACTAAACAATTAATAGATATATTTAAATAATTTTTTTGTAAATACATACATAGTATACATAGAAAACACTCAAATGTTTGTATCGTGCGAGATCGAACACGCGACCATACTATGATTGCTAAACCGTTAAATCAATAATTTTAAAGCCTATTGCAATAAATTTCGGTGGTATAATGAAATATACACATCGCGGTAATATAATAAAAATATGTATATATAATTCTGAATATCTGCAAGTAAATTGTCAACCCAGTATAACATACAACTGAGAGATCGACTGTTAAACAGAGGCTATCGAATCATCGATCAGTATTTTCTTATCCTAAATCTTAATAGCTTACAAACAAAGTCGAATACACTTTAAATTTGACATTTGTTATGACCGCTCCATTGATTAAACCACGAACAATACGTCTGGTTTGTACCAAAGCGTACAAAGAGATGGAATATTCTAGACAATTAAATTAAATACACTGACAAATACAAAAGACAGTCTTTAGCATTGCCTCTGAATATTACATCACTTTCACACTCCTTTGTTACGAATGAGACAAATGTACTGTAGTTTTATCAAGAAAGCGATCAATTTTAGTATGCGTCCCGCGCAGTCGATCTGTTGATCTGCTGTGTATACAAAACAACAAAACACTACCAATTTTATAATATAATGTGTACTAACTATTTAATTTTATATATAGACCACAATATGTCATCGCACGTGTTATAATAGCGTCCTCTCGCTCACACGCAACACTGTCAGTCCAGAGACCCTGCTGCTCGCTCCTAGTTTAGAGTGATTGCAGCGGGAAATAGAAAATATCAAATTGCTACATATCCGGCATCAGATCCCGAGGGTCACCCGTCGTATTTCATGATTGTACAGTTCTAGAAAATACTATGAAGTGTTCCCTCGTGTGGGACATACCACGCTAGCACTGGTTGACGTCGGGCGGCGTGGGCAGGAACTGGTCGGCGCGTTTGTGTTCGATTAGTGCCTTTACTGTGGTCGAGTCAGCTGGCAGTTCTGATTTCTTGCGGAGCAGCGGTTTGTTTGCGTTGTAACCTTGTTTTCGCGCCTGTTAAAAGGACAATACCATTACATTACAGTCTCATTAGGTCTGTGAACAACAAAAAATCTGCAGATTTTACCAAGTTTAAAACGCCACTTACATACAAACACATATAATAATAAATATAAATGCGAAAATGAATTTGTAGGTCATGGTTTCTTTCTTTAACCAATAAAACTGAATATCAAATAGCCGAGCAGGAGTTATACTTAAATGTATATAATAAGTTACTATTATATATATTCACTGCATAACTATAACACCTAAAAAGTTTTTTCAGATGTACAATAGACCACATTTTATTACTTTTTATTGCTAACGTTACACATTAAAAAAAGCAAAACCTAAAAGATTTCTATAGTCTCTTACTACCTTAATCATAGTACACGCTTGGGGGTCCGTAGATAAGCTTTATTGTGGTCCTTCGAACCGGACATTTAAATAAATCTTCTAATTCCATAACGTAGGCTATTATATTATATGTGTAGTAGTATGTAGGTTATTATATGATAGCAGCGTACCTCCTGCGCCTCCTGCTCGAGCCGCTGGTATGTGAGGTCGGGCGCAGCATCAGCGGAGGCGGGCGCGGGCGCGGGCGGCGGCGCCGGCCTGTTGTACGCCGGGTTAGTGGCCGCGCGCTCCTCGATCTGCAGCCACACCTCTTCACGGTGAACCATCCGTTCTCGTTCTCTGCAAAAGTAAAGAAAAACAAATTGATTAAAAACGTCGCTTTGCAAGAATTCCAACAGGATTTGCTTTCTAGTATATATTTCAGTTCACCTATCAAATTCACGGTATTTTTGAAGATGTAATCAAATCATATTGTACACTGCGCGTCATATACTCAAATCTGACATCTGTAACACTAATTCAAGATTCATGTCATTATTCCATCTTAGTGAAAGTGATTTAATCCTATTAGTATTCCATATAACTTTTAAACTTTAGTTCACTGTTACTCTCAACTATGTCTGCATACATTTGTATTCCCTATTTCACATCCATCCATCCATCCGTTTTATGAGATAAAAACCTATATCCGTCCCTCTTAGTATTGATACTAAGAGGGATGGAATATACAAATATACAGATACATTCACATTTATAATATTACAATAAATATCTTTTTATTATGTGTTTTATTTTGTTGAGTATGTTCAACAAACTGTATATTGTAATTATGTTTATATATGGTGCGTCACTTCTGCGTCCCTAGTACTCACTTCTGTTTCTCCTGCTTGTACTGTTGTGTGCACTCGTCGAATAATTTCTGGTTCATCTCCATAAACAGTTTCAGCGCGTTGTAGACGAGGCCGTGTATGGTCTTATTCCAGTGACTCTTGGTGTTGCGGTACAATGATGGGAACATTATGGGCAGTATATGGGTCGCGTTGTCCGATATTAGGGACATGATGTATTCGTTGTTCCAGTAGTATAGCGCACGCTCCGCTACCTGTTGTGTTCAATATAGACCAAATTGTATAAAATGGACCAAGCCAAAATTCTAGTAAATTAATTAATAAAGATAGTGTGATACTAGACAATAATGAAAAAGAATATTCTCTATAAAAAAGCGTTCATTAATCGTAAAATATTTAAAATGTCGACTGGGAGAGTCTTAATTTTAAATTTATAAATGAATAATATTAATTTTAATTATACACCTGAATACTACATTATTACAACTTAATAATTAACAAAGCTATTGTTGTAATTAATTATCAATATGTGGTATTTGTGTAGCATATATAATTTAATGTTGTTCATTTATATCTTATGACGGCATCAAAGGTCTAACAGTTTAGCACACTGCTTTACTTCCGATGGTCGCGGGTTTGATTCCTCGCACGGTGCAAACATTTGTATTCATGAGTACGATTGTTTGTATAGGTTTGGGTGTTTTCTAGGTATATTATGTATGTAATTATAAAAAAAATATTCATTAAAAATTTACAAATGATTTGCTACATGAATGGAATACATTTACCTGGAAATGTGGACTGGAAACACACTTGGCCAGCTGCCTGAACAGCGGGTCCATGATCTTTTGGAACTCGGCCGGCTCGATCACATCCAGTATCTCTTCCATTTCATTTAGAAACATCACCTCTTTGGGGGAATGTGTTTTCGGCCAGTATTTTAATAATGCCCTATAAATATATAAAAAAGTATACATTAGTGTTACAGGTATAACATCCTGAGGAGATAAAAACCATCGCTCCTAAGTGGAACCTAAGCGGCTTATATTATATACCATTTCAAATAAGATTTCTTCTTAAATATAATAAAATCTAATGAAAAACTATTTCAAGAAGGACGAGTAGAAGGATAAGTACACATCCTAATTAGTTATGGAAATAAATTACTTCGGGGGGAAGGAAATTGTTAGTAATGGGCACAGATGACCCCATTGCTAGCAATGTATCATGTCAGGTTGACCTCCATGCGGTTCCCCCTGACAAATATCCACCATTGTGATAAATTCGTGGTGTATTTACCACGATGGGCTAACTGACCTGACCTCATGCTCATTCTATCATCGTCCACTGGTTCCCCGCCAGAGTAAACTGTTAGCGTAGGCGGGTGAACCATTAACATCCATTAAAAAAATACATTACTTATGGCGAACTCACCTAACTACAGGTTGTGTGAGCGAGGGGTCCTTCTCCAGGAACTGAACTACGCAGTACGCTAGCTGCGGGTGATAGACTGACAGCGATTTCGCCTTGTGTAACGGCAACAGCACCTAAATATTATATGTTAAATTATTTAATTACAATTTGTTACAGCTATTTTTCATGGATGATGATTGAAGGAATTCGACGACCTTGGTGGTCTAGCGGTTTAGCATACAGACGGTATGGTGGTGGTGATGGTAGCTGATTCTATTTCTGGCATGATACAAACATTTGTATTCATGAGTATGATTCTTTACTATGTACATATGCATTTACAAAAAAAATGTATCTATGTATATTAGTCGTTTAGTACCCATAACACAAGCTCTGATTAGCTTGGAACTAGATGGCGCTGTGTGCATTGTCCTGAGATATTATTATAATCTACAAAAAGTAATTAAGAGTATAAATATGTTGTTTAGTACCATAATATAAGCTCTGCTCTGCTTGGGCCTACATCGCGCTGTGTGAATAGTCCCTGGGTCATTATTATTATTAATGTAGTTAATAGTTATGCTTACGAACAAGATGTAGCAAACTTACCCTAAGCAGGAACATTTTGTGTTCCTCCTTCAGCGGGAGAGCGAAGCCGTTGATGATGGAGCCAAGGATTTCCAGTAGTTCCGCGATACCGTTGTGATGTTCCGTTTCATATATAAACCTGGACATACATATAATTTGAAATTAGGTTAAAGTAGTTTCAAGGCGTTTGTAGCCGGCCCCAACGACATGCTGACCACCTTCATGAAGGAGGACTACTGGCCGAAGGAGGTAGTGTATCGGGGCTACTGTGGCAGTTTGCAGTGACCACACAAACAATTTATATTTACATTTTACTAACTTACTATCTGGCCTGGCAAAGGTTGTTTTGCTGTACAAATTAATATAGCTATTAAAAAATAGGATTACTAGAAAACGGAAACCTACTGAATATACACACAAATTTTCGAATGAATCGATCAAGCCGTTTCTGATGAGTTCTGTTAGCAATACTGTGACACGAGAATTTTATATACTATGTTATCACCTTCAAGTTTTACATTGTTAGTAATGTGGAGTAATGATCCCATTGCCAGCAATGACCCATGCCAGGTCCACGTGGTTCTCCCTGGACACCATCATGATAAATTCCTGGTAAATTTTCCATGATGGGCTGACAGACCTGACCTCTTGCTCATCTTATCATCATCAAAGCCCATGCCCTGCCAGCGTAAACTAGTGCACCATTCCATTATCATCCATTAAAAAAAATCATATATAGCTATACCATCAGACGCAGACCATCAGTCGCGTTTAAAAGCTGAATAGACAATACAAACATCAAGTGAGGCGGTGACAACTTGACAAAAGAACCTGACCAAACACCCATTAGGCATTACCAACGTCACAATGAAACGGCGGGCGGCCATTATCGATCCACCTCTTGGTCGCACGTACTGTCCATTGTCAACGCTAAACATGGGAAGCATTTTTTGTGACATGTTTATTATTGAGAGCGTCGTGGCTTAGTGGATTACTACCCCGCGTTACACAAAAGGCCTTTAGTTCCAGGCACCAAAAAAATATTTTATTGCTCATTCTTCTCATTTGGAGTAGTTAGTCAAATTGGACAATATACATAATTATGTTATGCAAAAATGTCCTATATGAATAAATTATTTTGACATTGAAATTCCGATGAAGCAAACACCAATAATAGCATGGGTTCCAGGGAGTCTTTGCGAGAGTGCTTTAAGGAATCAAATATCCTCACCGTTGCTTCTCAATATATTTATGAAAATATCATGTATGCCAGGAAGAATATAGACAGTTTCAAAAGAGTTAGTGATTGCACTAATAAAAGCTTACGTAACAATAACAAACTAATTTTACCTAAATGTCGTTTGGCTAAAGTTAGTAATTCGTTTTATGGCAATTGCGTAAGGTTTTACAATAAAATACCAGAGTCTGTTATAAATCTGCCAGAAAAAAGATTTAAATGTCAAATAAAACACTTCTTTTGCAAAAAAGCTTACTATAAAATTGAAGAATTCGTTAACGATAATAATGATTTTAAATACATAGCACTGACAATATTATCTGATTACACTAATAATGAGTGCGTAGCGATTTCTATGTTGGTTGTCGCATGCCTCTTACTTGTTACACTGTAATTATTTATATAAAAAAAAACATCTATTAAAAAGAGCAACACACAAGTTTCTTGCTCATTCTTCTTGTGATGAATCTGCATTCCGAATGAGTGGTAGAATCAAAATATGACTATTCAAAAGTGCTTGTAATGAGTTTATTTGAATAAAGATTATTTCTATTTCTATTTCCAATAACAAATCAAGAATTAATCTAGTTCAACCTGGCATGGTACATTGGTAGCAATCGGGTCAATAGTCCAGATAACTAAGAATCTCTATCCCCCCTGGAACTATAAGGAGCACCGCATAAGAAATTAGAAAAAGTATAGATAAAGCTTTATATTTAATACTAGCTTTGCCCGCGACATCGTCCTCATGGAATAGTACTCTTAAATAGCATGAAATATTTAATAATCTAACCCAAAAATGCTAAAGAAAAAAGTTTCATCGTTCTTGTTTTAAAAATGAGGGTAACATTTTTACTTACTTTGATTGTCATATTTATATTTAAACAACATCATAAAAAATTAATTTCAAGATTCTAGCTCTAAAAATAACGATACTTCCATACATTCTCTCATCATTTCGCATTATGTCGTGTATTTGCATCTCAGGGTCTCACTATATTACTGATACATCCATACATTCTTTCATCTCCCCTTACAAACCTTTTTTCGCATTAAAAAGTATTATATATCCTTTCTCAGGGTCTACACTATATGTGTACAAAATTTCATTTAAATCTGTTCAGAAGTTTTGGCGTAAAAGCGCGACAGACAGAGTTACGTTCGCATTTCTAATATTAATAAGGAAGTAAGGATATTGCTCGAGCAAGCACGAGAAGACATATAGTCGTACTCACCTATAAAACACATTATTGATTTGTTTCCGTATGTAGGCGCGCAGTACTAAGAACTTCCCGTATATCCTGTGTAATGTTGTTTTCAAGAAGTCTCGCTCCCGCGGGTCCTCGGAGTCGAATAACTCTAATAACTGAAATACAAAAAGAGACATGTATAATTTTCACTTGTAAACATATAGATAGATGTGCCCGCGTTTTCACCCGCGTCAAATTTAAAAAAAAAATATAGCCTATATGTCATTCTGATGCCTAAGCTATATTACTCAGTCATTTTGTTCAGTAGTTTTTGCGTGAAAGAGTAACAAATATCCATACTCACAAACTTTTGCGTTTATAATATTATTAAGATATATAAAATTCTCGTGTCACAATATTAGTTAGCATACTCCTCAGAACTTGGCTTCAAAGGCTTGACCGATTTTTATGATTTTTATATGCATATTCAGTAGGTCTGAGAATCGGCTACTGTCTATTTTTTTATACTAAGTGATAAGGGTTGTCCAGGCCTAACATTTTATATTTCTTTTTTTAACTTTATATTTTATTATATTATAATGTTACATTAAAAATAAATACAACCCAAAATTTTCACCTTTTTACCATTAACTTCTATTTTTTAATAGCGATTTTATTTTATATGGCAAAACATCGTTTGCGGGGTCAGCTAGTACCTATGTATATATTATTAGGTACATTAATAAAAGTAATAACAACAAACTGGGTTTACCTGAGTGCTGTTTGACGAAAGTTAGTAATTTGTTTTATGGAAATTGCGTAAGGTTTACAAACTGCTAGAAACAAGATTTAAATGACTTAAAAAATACATCCTTCGTAAAAAAAAACTTATAAAATTGAAGAGTTTATAACTGATAATAATATTCTTGATTGGTAATTCTAACCAAAAATTCATAGCGCTGACAATATTATCTGATTGCACAAAGATCGAGTGCGTAGCGGTATTGTTGATTGGCACATATCTAATCCTTATTAATGTGTATTTACTTAGAACAACATTTATTTAAAAGAGAACACACATGTTTCCTGCTTGTTCTTCTTGTTATGAGGCTGCGTTCCGAAAACAGTAGAAATACTAAATACTGTTAAATAATCTACTTACATTATGTTTATTTGAATAAAGACCTTCTATTTAAATATTTTTTTAAAGAATTTCTATGGACCAATAAAAAGTTTAGTTTACATATGAATGAACGTAACTCTAAGTCTGTTTGTATTTCCGTACGGAACCATTGTAATGTGTGTCTAACACGCTCGTACATTTTTTCAGGATGTGAGTACCTATGATTAGGCATGGTTGGTTACGTTACGGACTTTTTAAGGTATTGATTATCTAAAAATATATGGGAAGCTTCTGTTAGCTGGAAAAGGATCGTGCTTACTGATGGACCACAGATTTTTTTATATATCCACTAACTTATCTTACTAATATTATAATCGCGAAAGTTTGAGTATGGATGGATGTTTGTTACTCTTTCAGGCAAAAACAACTGAAGGGATTTGGATGAAACTTTACAGTAATATCTTATACATCAGAATAACATATAGGCTATAAATTTAAAGCGGGTGAAACCGCGGCCACTGCTAGTATATGTATAAAAATATAGGGTTTATCAGTTACAATTGTTAAAGAAAGAACTGAAAAAAATTTTTTTTTCAGTTCTTGCAATGGGACCAAACAATTTACATAATTAAATTACACAGGTCGCCCAGTGGTCAAAATTAGACCTTAATAACAAATACAAAAAAGATTATAGAACCAGCAATAATATAAAATAACAAAATTTTATATGCTCATGTGTCATAGACATGGTGTATGTATTTTTATGCATAACTGCAAAGTTTCATCAAAATCAGTTCAGTAGTTTTTACGTGAAAGAGTAACAAACGTCAATCCATACTCACAAATTTTCGCGTTTATAATATTAATAAGATTTGAAAAAATATTGGCATTCTGCACTCTTTCTCCATATAAACTATGTGTGCGAAATTACATACTCCTCCCTCGGCGCAAATTTCGTAAAAAGAGGTACAAAGTTTTTGCTTCACGTGTTGATATAGCTCTGAAAATTGCTCCACTCAGCTTTCTACTGTTCTATGCAAAGGTCTCAGTTTTTTTTTTAAGTTTATTTGAACATATTTTAAAATAAATAAAATGTCGATTTTTGGACGTTAATATCTAAGTAACCGTTTGAGATGTTTTTATGTAATTTGGAACACACATGTATCTCGCAAGTCTCAATATATGAGCCAAATTTGACACGTTTATGTGAAAGAGTTTTTGAGTTATGAGGGGGTCAAAAGTGGCTCCATTTAATATTTATTACACACGGTGCTCCTCGCCAGTTTTTTTACTTGAACTTGGCTTTGACACCGCTACTGCGTGTCTAGATTCTTTCACAATTTAAAACATACGAGGCTAATAAAAGACAACATATCATTACTCGCGACTTAGTTTGCTTTTCTTTTATGAGATAATAGAAAACCTACGTCCATCATCGTAATACTACCTATCTCCACGTAAAACATCATCATGTTCAGCCGTTTAGTCGTGAAATGGTAACAAATAGTTAGATAGACAGTTTCGTCCAGTGAAACTGTAAAGGCCAGCTACGATCACACTTCTTATAACGGCCTTAGAATAGTTAGAAAAAAAAACAGTTACGTATTTTTACAATATTAGTAGTCCTATAAGGCCCAATTACAAACGAACCCTTTTCACTAAAAGTTAGTGCACTTAGTACAGACTCATCTTCATTATCTATATTCATTATAATGCTAACTTAATTGGGAGTTAATATTAATTAAAGGCTTGAAAGCGCTTGCCCAGTTTATTGGGTACTCCTAATAACGGCATAGAATATTATTTATATAATTTAAACATTAATGAATGGTGGAAATATTTTTACTAACTAATAGTGTAAATTTTTATATTGTTAAATCATAATTTGTGTGAATGTAAACCACCAAACAGCACGAATCAGAACGAAATACGAATACTACGAACTAGACTACTGTTTAATTTTTATATGACAATTCTGTTGCCATGTTGAAGTAAAAAAAGAAAATGTGTTACATTTTAATGTGAAATAAAATATAGTGGAAAATATACGGAAACGTTTAAAGTTAGTATTTTTATTTCCATCAATTTTTATGCAACCTCCAAATTACCTCCAACGTATTTAATTATATATCCATTACATACTGCCTGCGTCCTGTGACTGATAGTATTGATTTGGGTATTTTTTTATTATATTATTTTCATACATACATATATTGTGTTTATGGGTAACTGTTGTTACCCATAAACAAAAGTTATATATTATTATCTGCTATGTAACTATCAAGTAATATCACACCGTAGTCGCAAATACACGTAGAGATTGTTAGTAATGAGGATGGGATTGCTAGCAATATACCATGTCAGATTGACCTCCACGCTGTCCCCCCTGTAAACCATCCTGATCAATCGCTACGTTGAACAAACTGACCTGACATCACGCTCATGCTCTCATCCCCCACTTTTACACCGCCAGAGTATACCGTTAGCGCAGGCGGGTGTATCATTGTATTATCATCTCTGAAAGAAAATACACGTAAATACAAAAGGAAACTGTTCTCACCTGTAATACAAATTTTTGGTCAATATACTTCTTAGCAATATTTGGTTGGAAGTCTGGAGACTCTAGTAGCCGGAGGAACAGCTCGTAGACCAGCTGCAGGTGAGGCCACGCCGCTTCCAGGGTGGGCTCATCTTCTTCAGGGTCGAACTCCGCACCATTCGGATTCGAGGACGGTGGTAATGTCCGGAATAGGTTTATCGCGAACTGCAGACAAAAATTATATATTAACAGATTATATAAATTACATCTGTACTTATTCATAACATTGTAATGCGAGAGACAACTGTAGGTGCATTAACGTTTTTTTATCTAACTATAACAATAAAAATAATAATAACAACCCTGGAGTATCCACCTAGCGCCATTTTGTCCCAAGCTAAGCTTGTATTATGGGTGCTATACAACTGATAGAAATACTAAATATATATTTTTAAAACACCTATATAAACAATCGTAACCATGAATATAAATATTTGCATTGTGCAAGGAATCGAAACTGCGACCATATCGCCATTGCTTCGCATGACCATCAAGGTGGTCAACCTGTGGCGGTGTGGTGGAACGATAAATTAGTTGTCGGCTCACCTGGTAAATGGCAACCGCCGCCTATATACACGAACAGCACTACGGACATCAGGTGAAGTCCTCAAATCACTCGCGCGTTGCCATTCCGGAGAACATATTATGTATATTGTATATGTTATAATGTTATACCTCATCTATTGTAATTTCACCTAACCCTTCTTCTTCTTCTTTCGTTTTTTCTTTGCGACGATTTTTGCGATCTAACCCTATAAAGTTGTATCTGAAGCATAGCTTATAAAGCAAGCTGCTTAGCTGCTGATATTGACAAGTATATTTATATTAATATAGATTTTATCTATCTACGCTTCTTTTAACATTTATACCATATTTCATGCAAATAAATACATTTCATTTCATTTACGCTTGGAGACGGCTCGTACTAAGTGTATCTAGGGAATCTGTTATATTCAGCGATTCCATTCATTAATATTAAATGCCTATGTTAAGTGTTGCGTTCATCACGACCTCAACAGTAGAAAGACCTCTGTCTACTCTACCTTGTATAGTGTGGAATACACATTTATCAATATTAAAAAGTAAAAACAAATTTCTGGACCGTTTATAAAATACACACAATCAGAGTGTAAATCATTGATATAAATTACCCTATTCAGTCTTAAGACACAGTAATTAGAAAATAATCGTTGGTAATAAGGAAAAACAACATTACGTTAGCCAATAACTTGAAACGACAGAGTTTCTAGCATCTAATAGTTTGACTTGACAGTGCGAATGGATTTTCATTGTCATAATAATAATAATATCTCAGGACATTTCACAGAGCGCCATCTAGACTCAAGCAATTTTTTTTTATTAGGTTGTATGGGCTATTTTAATGTGCTTAGACTGTAGCACTGCGACCTACATAGATCTAATGTGCTCGCCCTTTTTCAGACTTCGCCACCTAGACCCGTCAGGGACAAGAATTGAAGGATATTCAGTCCCAAGCTAAGTAGAGCTTGTGTTATTGGTACTAAACAACTGATATATATATTCATGGATACATTTTTTTTTTGTAAATATTATACATAGAACCCAGACCGATACAAACAATCATACTCATGAATACAATTGTTTATACCACCGAGTTTTGTGTTTGTTGCACCGTGGCCGTCATAAGGATATAAAATCATAAGGTCCTATTTTGTTTTTAACTACAGTTAAAGAAGGTTAGGACATGTAGAGACTTAAAGTGTAATAGGAAATACCGCGTATTATGATGATTCACTTGATTTCCCAAAGCACAAAAAAAAACAATCATCGCATGCTCTATGGCTATTAAACATGGCTACTCGTGAAATAAAAAGGGGATCATAGGACGGGGCAAACCTATATAACAGTTGTTTGTCGGCACACTTATTATGTATTTATTATTCAAGACTATTGATTATAATATAGATATAGAAATAAGGCATTTGCACATACAATATATATACAATATACAATACAAATCTATTCGCTTAGTCTCTATCTTTCAATACAATTAATTATTTTAAATTTCCAACTTCACAATAGTTTACACCCCCCCCCCTCCCTCCCAACTAGCGGTACAGTATTGAAATTTTAGTACAGATACCTAAATTCTATTTATGAATATTGCATTTTACTCAGCTATAATGTAGTAACCTAAAGGTGAAAGATTTCTTGAAATTCGTTCTGTAGGTTTTGACTTACAATGTTACAAACTTTCCTCTTTATAATATAATTTTAATGTCGATGAAGGGTACAAATAAGAAATGTAACCCTCCCACTATACTCAATCTATATTCTACTTTATCCAAATGACGATAAATTTTTCTGTTTTGTTTTAAGCTTGACAACCGAGTCAACGGCCTAACTGACGGTAAGTGGTAACCGCCACCTATATACATACATGAACAGCACTACGGACATCACGTTGACATGTGACCCCTGTATATATATATATTTTATGGATAATAATAGAAGGATGCACCCGTCAGTGCTAACGGCTCTGGCGTGGCACCAGTGAAGGATGATAAAGCAAGCATGAAGTCTCAGTTAGCCCATGTTGCCAATTGACAATTTACCAAGATGGATTTCCAGGGGGAACCGCGTGGCCGTCGATCTAACATGGCACATTGCTAGTAATGGTGCTATTAGTCCACATTACTAGCAATGTCCATTCCTCTGTATATTATGTATGCTCTTAAAAATATAGAAGAATTAGTATCAGTCATCTAGTACCCATAATACAAGGTCTGTTTAGCTTGGGATTAGAAGGCACTGTGTGAATTATCCTCAGCTATTATTATTATATGATTAAAAAATAATAATCAATTCCGGATTATACTCGCGAGTACAAACTTCAAATTTGGAACTCGTTCGTGGATTTCATCAATGTTTTTATTAATAAATGAACATGTTTATCGTGCAGGTCAATTCGCTACATGACGGCTATGACATAGATAACCGTGTCACTGCGTCACATCTACAGGCGGCTTCGATCGACCACGGACACAACAATGTTACTAGGGAAACGGCGAGCTCTCATTGCAATGTATTCTCCATTACAACTTACACAAAGGTCACTTGTTGGAAATAGATTCATGCTCTTTACACAAGCAGCCTTGTATGAAATATATCAGACCAATTTCTATCATTTTTATGATATGTAGTACAGCGTTCGAGAAAATTTAAAAATCCCTCTACAAGCACTGTTTATTATTATATATATCTGACATTAAAACAACACTAAGCTTACTATACCACAGAGTTACTTATAGTACTTACTATCTACATAGTTTATAAACAAACATGCAATAAATAAAACATCTCCTTAGATTACAATATTAGTTTAGATTCTAAACCGAGGAACTGCTATAATCACACTAAAGTCGAAAATCATATCATGTATAAAAATTATTAATAGATAGTCTATATTATTTGTTGGGATCCCTCGGTGAGCAAATCCGACGCGGAATTTATCGCTTTTCTTTTTAATTATTTTTAAACATTTTGCTAATAGAAATAGAATATTAAAATTTAAAAAAAAAGCACTTTTGATTAGTCACGTTTTTTATTCTACCACTTAATCGTTCATTCAAGCAGACTTATCACAAGAAGAACGTGCATGAAAGTTGCGTGTTGTCCTTTTAAATAATCAACATTATTCATCAACACAAATGTAAAATCCAGAAATGGTTCAACATAAATGTAACCTATTATAAGTATTAATGTCTATAAAAGCTGTAAGCTGTCCAATAAATAAATGAAATAATACAATAAAACTCTAATCAATAACACAAGTTTCTTACTACACGATTGATTGTTTACTCAGATATACAAACTAGAAGGTAAAATCGACATTTATTATTATCTTCTTTATATATAAAAATAACGTGTCACGTAGTTTATCCGCGATGGACTTCCTAAACTACTGTACCGATTGGCAATTTGATCCAACTTGAAAGATGGGATAGCTTACATCTCAATTTATAATCGCAATATTATTTTATTCAAGAACCTTAGCCACAGCAACGCGTGGCCTAGTTGTACTATAGAACCCATTTAATTGATGAATTAAATAATTTAACTTAATGTACATTATATTATCAATCTGAATTTTATACCTAATAGGTTGGTCATAGGGTACTTTATTTTCTGTATATCTACTACCAATTGTTACCTATAAATCATAAATAAATAAATGTTTGTAAAAAGTGCTAAATATAATACATAGAGCGTCGATTCGTCAGCGTCAACTTAATTGACATTTATCATAATATTTCGCCCAATTTACTTAATATCTATTTAAATTATATCCTATGTATTCCTCTGATGTATAAGAGATATTACTGTAAAGTTTCGTTAAATTCGATCAGTAGTTTGCGTGAAAGAGTTACAAATATCCATCTATCTCACAAACTTTCACGTTTATAATAAATGTAAGATGATGTTCTCTTAGAACCGTAGTTTAAGAAAACGATAGCAGACGAGATTCCACGAAAGCAACTAAAACTAAACGAAACTCTCTCTACACATTCATATCACCGACATCCGGCTTGCCCCGCCCAATGTGTACTGCAGGGCGCTTACTATTCAACTTTAAGTGAAATATACTTAAGACACAATATGCTTATCATTGAGACGGTTTCTCGCTATCACTACAGTAAACTTCAATGAGCTAACACTAATTTTTTATTGTTAAGGGGTTTGTTCTATGACTCGGTGCTAAAGAAATCTCTTAGCACTGCAACCTGCATAGATCTATTGTGCTCGCCTTTTTTTAGACTTTGCTGCCAAGGCCAGGGATAAGAATTGAAAGATGTTTTAGGAGCAATGGTTTTTATATCCTCAGGATAGAGTGTATTCTTTCCAAAGGAGATATTTCGTTTATACATCAGTAGTCTATAATCACATAGGGTGTGTCCGTCATATCTGTAGATTGATTCGATAGTACGGGATTCTTATTACACTAAGTTGCAAAGTAATTCGAGAGATGCCATTAAATAGATTTAAAAACGACTACACTAATGGCTCGTAGAAAAATGCTGTTACACTTTGCGAGAATTGGCTTAACATTTAATCTTCTGTATTTGTGATGTAATTTATTCGAAAATCTTTAAGAATTATAATTTGCATACCTCCTGAATATAAGGCGAACATTTGTACATAACACGTCTAAGTAAATGTTTAAGCAAATAAAATTATCTATCTATCTATACACACAATATTTATCTAACACTTATAATTATATATTTTTCATAAAAACGTTTTCTTAATTTCAGAAAGAATTTAGACAACTTTAATGTAAGTTTAAAAAGGTAGACTAAAATTGTATAGGCACATTATACATAGTAACTATGTCAAACTATGTCAGTGGGTTGCGTCAATAAATGACTGCCGTAAAGCTACTGTTCTATATAGTATATATAATTGTGTTACAGTATGAGGGGTGAGATTGTGGTAGTACAATTACTGGGTAAGAATAATAACAAATAATACTAATAATTATCTCAGCATTAGTTTTGTATATATTTATTACCCACCCTCGAAGAATTTAACTATTTACTTATATTATAAAAATATATACATTTCTAAAATAAAAGCAGCCTAAGTTTAGCTATCTGCTAGTGAAAGTGCCGTCAAAATCGGTCCTGCCGTTTTAAAGATTACCATAAACAAACACAATTTCGTACAAATCATTCTCCGGAGGCGTAGAAATAGAAACACATCTCACCATGCTCACAGCCTCTGGGTATATGGGTTCTGTGATGACGTCACGCTGTGACGTCACGTACTCCACCATCTCTAACAGTGCAGCACGTTTCACTTCCTTCCACTTGAGGTCTGAGAGGGGCTCATCGGCAAAGTCGAACAAAAGGCAGCACTGACGCAACTTTTGCACGAAAAGCTGTTCTCTTTCCGCGGCTGGCGCATCTGTGAATAGAAAACAAACTTTAACCTTCTAATCGATCACCTGTCCAATTTAAAAGGGAATCGAAATTACGACGACCTGATCCGAGGTTCGAACCCTTAGCGGTGCCCTCAGATTAAAGTCGTATCCGTCAGGCGGGAGTTGGCTTTCAGCCGCTCCATAAGTCCTTCCGCGGGTTTAAAGTGCAATCTGCACTCGACCCCTATCGTCCGGTGAAGCTGTAAAGGCCAGCGGCGTCCTACAAATTAGAGGAGTCCGAAAAAAAAAACGTTCCAATACCTACAATTCATTTTCCAAAGAAAAAGCTATTTATTTTCTTAATCTCACTGGAGATTAAGAAAATAAATACGTTTTTCTTGAACTCAATCCCATAGACAGGGCTTCATAATTTAGTCTCTCTTTTTATTATATTTTGCTGTATCCTGTGACATTTGGGAATTAGGCTGATCTTTTGAATATCTATGGAACAACTTTAACTAAACTCGGTCGGGCCGTTTAAGCTAATTGACAAAGTATGTTATTTTTTCTGTCTTATTTATTTGTTTCTCTTCAGTTATGTCTAATTTAATTGAATATTATTTCATATAATATATTTCATTGAATATGGACAAAGTATATTACAAAGTACAAACTCCGTCTGTGTGGGTATTCAATTAAATGACTTTATTACTTTTAAAAATAAAACGAAATAAACTTATGGATATTGGATTGTCGGGTGGAATCGTTATTTATATAGAATGCTTAACTTAAATACCTATTTCTAATATTAACTCTTTTTAATCACTGGTAGAACCATAAATGGTATATATTTTATAGCGTATAATTCATATTGTGGTCGCTATACGAATAACTATAGCCATATAGTAGAGAGTAGAGTATCCATCCAAATGTAGCTGTATCCATTACAATTTTCTAATGATATCTCTGGGACGCATGTTCCGTGTCTGAATAGGGGACTTGAAATGTATTTTATCTAATTCTTGCTTTTGCCCGCGGCTTCGCTCGTGTTAATACATCCCCTTAGGGGTGGAATTTATTAAAATCCTTTCTTTGGCGATGCTTACGTCATAGTAGCTTTATGCATGCAAAGTCTCAGCCCGATGTGTTTAAAATTGACAAAATTTCATATAAACTTTCATCCCCTATTTTCTCCCTTTGGGGGTAGAATTAAGCATAGGTCATAACATCTACCTGCATGCCTAAATTTCAGTCCGATCCGTCCAGTGGTTTGGGCTGTGCGTTGATAGATCACTACGTCAGTCACCTTTGAGTTATATATACATATATATATATATATATATATATATATTTAGATTAATTTGTGACTTAGAAGAGAACTAGTACATATGTAGGTGTGTGTGTACAGTAGGTAGGCAATTCCTTCTTTGTAATATTTCGTTAACAATAAACGCTAGGATATTTATTTGCAACTTAGTAAAGCATTACTAATGACCCTGTCACCAGCCCTTTAAAATGGAATATATCCCATATCCATAAATCAATACGTTTAGTTAAGTATGATAGGATGATTCAAGCAAATCTTATTACCGACTTTAAAGTTGGTTCGTGTGTCTTTTATATGTGTCTTACTATACTATAAAAACTATTTGAATTTGTATCTGCTAGTTCAGGACAATGACAACCTGGTGGGGTAGTAAGAACATGAAATCAAATCTTGTAATCTAGATTACAAATAAAGAAAATTCAAATCTGATCTTAAGTAATAAAAAATTCAGCCCAAAAGACAGACACATGGAGAATTAAAAATATTCGCAAAAACACTGTGTTGTGTGAATGCTGTCGCCACATGGCTAATAGAAAACAAATCTGCCTAAAACAAGACATTCAGTCTAAACAAAGTTCGCTAAAATAGATAGCCACCCACGTACTTTGACTGTAAACATAATCTTAAAAGTAGTTGATAAAATGCCGGTAACCTCCTTAAATACATAGGTGTATACGATACAATCTTTATATTGTGTAACAGACGTTCTGCATCGCATGCATAATGCTAGTGGAAATACTGCAGGATGCGAGGACGTCGATCCATTTCCCATAACATACATAGCACAAGCAGGGCCGGTCACTGGACGCCTATGGGTCGATATATTTCTGCGGCATTTTCGCCATTTACATATTCTTCATATAAGTGTGTATTGAAACTAATTTATTTCAGTGGTATTGTTTCGATTTTAACGACAGCGATGATCTCAAGGCTGCCAAATACAAAGTGTGGGCGGTATCAGCAAGTCTGTTGCTATTACAGCGTGTCGTTTAGAATCGATGACGTTATGTATGCGATAACAACTGGAAATCACCATTAGACGAAGCGATGAGCTAACGTAGATAGTGATCGCATACCGATTTATCGATGTTTAAAATAACTTCGGATATTTGGCCGATATCTAAAAAGTGCCAAGCCAATCTACGGAAACTGTTTGTAAACAGACATGTTTTATACTGTGGACAACCTGTGTAGGGTTGTGTCATCATCGACGAACCTTTCAGCGGAGGCAGCTGCACCATCAAACTCTCTTTATCTGTGTTGGGTATCAGCAAAGGGCGCTCGGGCGAAACGGCGGCGGCGGCCGCGGCGGGGGGCGGCGGGCTGCGCGCGTCCGGCGGCGAGGGCGCCTTCTGCGGCGGACCCTGGCCCTCCATGCCGGTGCCGGCGAACAGCGCGAAGCGAAACGCGCGCGCTACGTCCGACACACTTTCGGAGCGCTTGGTGACCGCTTGATTAGCGACGAGATCGAGGCCCGAATGGAACGAGGGAGATTTGGGTATACCGAGCGGCGAGACGGCGCGACGCGGTTTGCTCTCAGCGGCGGCGAACATCGCGCGAGAGGGCGCGCGCGCGGCCGGCCCGGCGTGGACCATCGCAGGCGGCGGCCGGCAGCGGCATCCGAGCGGGAGCCCGGCGGCGCCGGGACCGGTGCGAGCTGCGGGGGCGGCCGACTGCCGCGCGCCGGTCGCGGCCGACACTCGTCGCAGTGCGCGCGCACGCTTCGCCGCCGCCACCGCGCGCTTCGCCCCCGCGCACCACCCACCGCTCTATACAACCTCCGTTAGGGTTATCACGTCATACACCCAATTGTTATTTACATAACTATACTATAACACTACCAATCGCACGGACAAAAACTCTACTTATTGTCTTCTCCCGTGCTATAACTACGGGTCTTGTTTTTTAGACAATTTGTTAAAACTGTTATTTTACTTACATAGTATGATTGAATAATTAACTATGGCGAATGAACACGCTAAGGGAGAAATTATGTCAAGGTACTGTAACGTTGTACAAATACCTGCCAATCGCGTCACAAAAAATACCTTTACCTAAATATAATAATGCGGATGTAGAATATTAAATTTTAGACTTTAAGAAGTCAGAGATCAGCAAAAAGATAATAATCTAAGGCCACGTAACGTGATAGTAGAACAAAGGACATTTAAAAAAATTTCCTAGATTTTTATTATAGTTTCAGTATTCAGGTTAGGCTTATTATTTAAATGAATATATTTACAATAACACTATAAAAATTGAGTATTATGTATATGTAGTTAAAAGCCAATACAACTAAAAATCTTTAACTATTTGAAAGATATACGAATTGTACCCTATATAATTAATGTATACACAGACAAAGTCGGGTGGCGCCACTAAAACGTAATAAAATAACGACGCACGAGATGTATATCCTCCAATAGATATAAAAATAATATGAGCACATATTTTTAGTAGAATTTCATCTGGGCACGACAATGACGCATCAACCCTGCATATATTGCTACTGTTTCATAATTCGAGAGGTCGGGGGTCGGTATCGCGTCGCGCCATAACCAACGGTAAACAAGCCGTACTGTGAGATAAGCAAATATTATGGAACGGTTACCGCAAATAAACAATGATCAGCTGATTTACATCCTGCGTATAAACGGTGATTATAATTCGCAAGTCATCATCTAGGGTGAACACATTTGTTTTAGAAAAAAAAATCCATCAACGTTTAGAAATGAGAATGTATTTTATTTCAGACCGGCTACAGAGAATTATTATATAATAAAGAAGTAGTACAAAAAAGGCCTTAGCGCTAAGCATTTTAAGAAACTGGAATAAGCCTATTAGGCTTATTCCAGCCTTATAAAAAAAACTTTTTTTTTTTATTAGGTCACCAAAAAGGTTTACACAAAAACACAATTACATTACATATTACAACAATATATTTAAAACACTGCGCGCGGTTTCACCCGCGTTAAATTTAATAACACATAGGCAATATCAAATATAGCCTATGTGTTATTCTGATGCATAAGCTATATTACTGTAAAGTTTCATCAAAAACCGTTCAGTAGTTTTTACAAGTTTGCAGTAGTAACAAACATCCATACTTACAAACGTTCGCGTTTATAATATTACTAGCTACTCGCCCCGGCATCGCCCGGGTATACATGTATTATACATATAAACCTTCCTCTAGAATAACTCTATCTTTAAAAAAAAAAACGCTTCAACGTCTATTGCGTAGATAGGGATACATACATAGGGACGGACAGACAGCGACAGCGACTTTGTTTTATACTTTGTAATGATTAAGATATTAAGTTCAACCTTAATTATAGGCAACTACGACATTTATATGACAAACTGTGCTTACAATTAATAAAACATATGACGTTACAAATTTAATTTACTTTTCCCTTAATCTGTATCTGGTATCTACTATTAGAGCGGAATTTTCTATCTGACAAAAAATGTTAATTGTAACCGTATAACATGACTGACATATACGAAAATTGTGATTAGGGGTGAGGTGGGTGGAACAAAGAGCTAGAATTTCACCGCAACTATAATATATTTAGTAAACGACTACACCACATTTGCTACCCGTGAGTTCTTATCTATCTGTACACTAAAAGGACTTGCTGTATAAAATTATACATCTGTTTCACGTTCAGGTGATGGAAACACCGATAACAAATCACGGAAAATCGCGATAGC